CCAAGACTAGAATGAACACGGATCGATAAGCGGGGTAGCTTGGTGAAGTGTTCAAGAGCCAGCTCTAGTTCCCTTGGGAGATCGACTGGCCGATGCTCCCAGTCCAAATGTGGGTGGCACTACCTACTTGGATACCTGGCATGGCTCAACGGAACCTCGCTCTAAGCCCATGGCTAGAGCACCCAAAGGCGGAAGGCGGGGAGAGTACCCAGGTGGCTCGCGTAAGGCCGTGGTGTTCCAAAATGTTGCCCTAGAGTCCCAAACTATGAAAAGGAGGAGGAGCCATCCTCTAGTGTAGAGACCAAGGATATGTTCATGTGAGGAGGTAGTCCCAGAGGACCGAGGGACTTAGTGGTTGGGCTTGTGGGCCTTGATCCAGTGGCAGTATTGGTGAACACAGCCATAGACAAAAAGGGATTTGGTGGGGACTGGAAAAGGGATATTGGGGAAGGCTAATCCCCATGTCTGTGGGCATCCTAAGGATGCTAAAGAGTGGATCGGGGATGATCACTCATGGATGGATGGCTCAGTCTTTGAGAGATGGGACTGTGATGGAGGTGGTGTCAGACCATCGGTGTGACTAAGGTGAATAGGCATGGCATTAGCGTAACGGGTTGATATGTCAGTGGTACCTTGTGGTGTCGGCCATGGGATCAGACATGTGGAGCACTTGGACCAAGTGCAAAGGTTGAGTGGTGGGGATGCCATTCTTGGGGCTAGCAAGCCCAAGTCTAAAATAGGACTTATGGAGGTTGTGAGTGAGACTCCTCTAAGTGGTCGGAGGTGTAGTTAAGTGACTAAAGTAGAATGGAAAAATTAGTCGCTTACATTTGGGACAAGTTTGAAACTTACTAAATATGGAATGGCGCTAGATTGCGAATTTGGACACGGGACAAACACCATTGTGTTCAGGTCAATCTCTACATTTTGTAGATATGCCAAATGAGCAAATCTGGACACTTTCCATAAATAGCATTTGGAACTGAAATGAGACTAACGCAAAGGGCATGATAGCGAGGGTGTTTGGCAGACACGGTAAGCTATCATACAGCGATATTGAGGGACTAATCTCAATACGCAAGTGTTCTTGTCAAGCCAGTGCAAGACAGAGCAAAAGAGAACTAAAAAGCCAGGCCAAGTATGCTTGGCTGAATAAACACTTAGGAATTCCATCCTTATGCTTATTCGGCCAAGTACATATACAAAGTCCAATTTACTAACACTTGAACAAGAGGGGCTAATAAAGGGTCTAGCAATACTAACCTCCTGCCATCGTGGCAGTAAAGTAAGAGTGTCCGTAAGGACTGGTTGATAGGTAACTTTCGATACCCGAAGTCACATTCGCGACAAGCATGGAGTAACTCTTGAGTGTTTAGTTTGAAGAGTGAAGAGACAAGAGCATGGGGCAACATTAAAACAGTCATAGAGCATGTATCATACTAATGTCAGGATTAATACGCAAAATAGAGTTAAATAGAGTTTGGCACAATTTCAGTATATTAGTGCTTTAACACAAGGATATAAGTACTCCACCAACTAGCAAGGTTTGGAATTTGGGTTTAGACCCAAGTTGAATGTAAAACAAGGATAAGCATATAAGTGGGAGTTAAACTTATAACCCCTCTCCCCCTTTGAGAAACGTGCACTTTGGGCTTTCACCTTTAGTACTAAGAGTTGGTCTCTGGGACAAACTTGAAATTTACTAAATATGGAATGACACTAAATTGTGAATTTACCAACATTATTGTGTGTAAATATGTTAAATTAACAAATTTAGATATTTTCCATAAATAGCCATAGGACCAAATGAAACTAACACATAGGGCATGATAGCGAGGGTGTCTTAGCGGACATGGTAAGTTATCATCTAGTAAGTATTGAGGGACCAAACTTAATATTATAAGGGTTCTCAACACTAACAAATGCAAGTCAATAATATAAGTTTCTCATCACTGTGTCAAGTATATTTAACTAATGACAATTTAAGATTTTCTTCTTTAGTGCCCTTCCAGTCTAAGTGCACATAGGATACTAGTTTTTCAACTAACTTAAGTAGAGATTGATAAAGGGTCCAACAATACTAACCTCTTATTATTGTGGTAGTAACAAAAGAATATCCAAAAGGACTCACTAATAAGTAACTTTTGATACTTACAGTCACATTCACAATTATGCTTTTGATAGTGCATTTGTAATTGCAAACACTTGGGTCAGGTACAAATAGGATAATAATGGTAGTATAACTCTCATCATTGTCCACCAATAGAGTATAAAGTAAATGATTTGGTGTTAATCAATTTGTGTAAGGGGCCCCTTGCTCAATAGAAGGGACCATATCAGGTGTTATGACAAGTTAGACTACAAGTTTATAAAATTTAACATAACATTCAACAAACCGATCCTTAAAAAATTCTGTATATGTAATGGCTAAAATGCTTTATACAAAGGATCAAGAACAATTAATACCACATCTAAATCACCAATGGCTCCTCTTGATGTTCTTCTAGATCCTAGCTCATCAGCCATAAAACCCTGACTACTTTCCATCCCTTTGAGAGGAAGGGATAATGTAAAGTGTACATTTATAATGCCATACACTAATATAGGCAGTTGCCAAAATATTCAAGAATCTCTTAAATATATTCTCATAAGGATGGCTTAACTTTTTAGGAAGGAAGAAAAGATCTTCTGTTATAAGTTATCCTTGCAATTGATCATTGGACAGATCAGGGATACTGAGGGCATGACTTGCAATGCACAATGTTTCTGTTTCACGATCATTCTGCTTCTATGTTCTTGAATAGGGGTGTCCAATTTTGAGGCAGAATTGGCACTGATCGATCACATCAGCAAGATTTCAAATCTTCCAGGAGCAATGGCGAAACAAGATAAAGTTTTTCTTTTCTTCTTTACTTATTTACTTTGATTTGAACTTTGCACATTGGGGGCACGCTCTTACCATCACCACACCGCAATCCAACCAACACACGATCAAAGCGCCATGCCTAAGACTGCCATTGACCTACTCGGACCAACGATCTGGCGAGATCCATCTTGTGGAAGCTTCTTTGCCGGATCCACTCTGAACCAAGAGCTGCAGGCATCTAAGTGTTTGCCGAGAAGATACACATGACGAGGATTAGGCAGATATGTGGGAACCTTCTTCCTCTAAAGCCGATCCAATTCTCGCTGAAACTCCAGTTCCCGACAGCAATCTTCGAATGTTATCCCACAGCTTCCCTGAGCTTTTGCAAGCGTGCAAAGCGATGCCATTGCTTGCAGACGCGCCAGGAATTGAGGATGATATCTGCTGGGCGAGACAAGATGGCGAGCACCAGATCATCCCAAGAAACTCTTTTTGGTTTGCCAAATCCGAAAGGTTCAATGGCAGGTGATTTAGCGCAGGAGCTGCTCACAGCCCGCGCTGATCGCGGCCGCAGTAGAAGCAGGAGCAGCCGCCGTTGCTGCGTCAGAGAAAAGGAGATCATTTGGGGGAACACTTGCTCTTGTCCATCCTACCTGAGAGCTCACCACATCTCTCCAGTTCCAGTCAAGGATCGACCTGTCATCTTCTGGAAAATTCCCTACATACATTTCCATGACGAGACTAGCGAGGAACCGATAGATAATGGGAAGGTGCAAAGTTCTAATTGAAATAAAAAAGTAGCGAAGGCCTTGCCTGGTGATGGTGGAAAGTTTTAAATCAAATCCGGTCGCCATTCCATTGAGAATGGAACAGGGAAGACGGCCGGAAAATTCCTGACTGCTCGAATCTCCAAAGCGTCAAATGCAGGCCTGATTCCTACAGCAAACGAGCTGCTGCTGAATCTGGGAGAGCCTTAATTGCAAGAATGGGAGGGAGAGTCTTGACGATGAGGAGCCATCCAGTGGGGATTTGCAGGAACGTCTTCGAGGCTGCTCTGCGAAAATGCGGTCTCCGTCCAGCGGCCTGGTCAAAGCTCATTGACTTTGATCCATACTTTGTTTCGGCACCAGCCTCCTCGTTTTCCTGGGCCAATTGTTTCTGACCAAACAAAATTTGGTCAGGTCTCATGGCACAGAGAGCGTAGGAAGGAACGCAATGGTTAAATCCTTTATCTAATCTTTTCATTGACAGGCGCGATATAACCTTGTGTTTCGAGATAAATGTTCAACTTCGAATGATAATCCAGGATGAACCCCTCAAATATGACACACAAGCCCCAGCGAACACGCCAGGAAAAGAAACCTGTGTCCCTGCGAAGCGGACCGACGGAGAAGGAGCCATGATCAAGCTCGCCAGAGCAAGCGTAGCACAACCCATGGATCTGCATCTCCGGCAGTGTTGCGAGCCACAAGCTCCCTGAGTTCCTTGCAAGGCGATGCCATGGCTTGCAGAGGCGCCCGGCTTTAAGGATGATATCTTCTGGCTTGGGGCGAGACAAGATTTCGAGCACCAGATCATCGCCCAGAGCTCCCATGCCACGTACAAAGGATGTTCTCGATCTGGCGAAGAGTTTAGTAGGTGCCTTGGAACGCTGTGTCCAGAGATTGTTCGAGCGTTGGCCTCCAACACCGCCTGCGCTTCGTTCTCTAGCTTTGTGTAAGGTGTGCTCTCCAGACTCTTCTTTCACTCAAATTTGCAGTTCTTCACAAACAAATGCAGCTTCAGCGGTTTCTTAGGTTACCTGTTTGGAGGGAAGTGGATGGTGGGAGTGACTGCTGGTGAGTTGACGACCTGGTTGAGTCCACAACATCGATGTTGATCCGGTTCACCTCAATGAATTGGGGATTGTGAAGTACGCTTTGACAGTGAGAGAAAATGATTCGCCATCATTAAGTTCAGTAGTTTGTCATGAGCCCAGCTGGCTTGGATTGAGCGTAAGCTCGTTTAATTTGCATCGAAAGGCCGCTTGATGATCTGTTAGTGTTGTCACCTTGAGAAATTATAGCAAAATAAACCATCATAGATTTTGTTGTCACAGCACAGCGACCAATCGAAACAAGAAGAAACACAAGAATGCTGGCGAAGAAGTCAGATTGAAACTTGGGAGGAAGCACAAAGTATGATACAAGAAAAGGAGCTTTTGGCAATACGGACGCTGCTTGTCTACGTCTGCCAAGCCTTGGGCTGGTCCTTGAGATTCTGGAGCTTGTGATTCAAGCCAACAGCATACTGGGCCGCGAGGCACGACTTCCTCCGCAACTGTTGGAGCCCCGACGTCTTGGAGATCAGGCTGAAAACGTTGGGAAAGCCACACGACTTCCTGGAAGAGTTCTCCATGGCTTCTGGAAGCACGACCTCGCCAAAAACTGGGATCACGCCCTCGGGAAGAAATCTGTCCGCATCCTCCATCTCCAGGGCGCCGTTGTGATATCCACGCGCGGACTCATGGATTATGGACAGCATCTGGTTGCGAGCTTCCGTCAGTGCGTACTCGAACGTGCTGCAAACCTTCCACAGCGAGGCCATCGCGTTCGCAGACTTGGGACTTCGATCCACCACGGCCTGGTAGTTTTTTCACGGATCAGCTGGAATGGAAACTTAACTACCAACGAAATCTCAAACCTGGTTTTGGATGGCTTTTGTAGCTCTGGACAACAGCGGCTGCATGTCTTGGAGCTCGTGTTGGAGCTGCATCTGTGCAAGAGAAAACAAAAGAGACTGAAACAAGAAGGAATTCTTCCGTACCTGTAGTCTCCGCAAAGCTTGCGCTGAGAAAGTTTGTCCGGTGAGGGGTATGCTTGACGAAACAGAGCCTGGAAACATCTCGGTCGCGCCAAACGACTCAAAACTCGACCGAGGACCAGCTTCGTTGTTGGAGGCGCATTCCACCACCGCTGGAGCAGTGGCTGGTGGAGCTGGAGCTCTTTCGCTCGCTGCTACCACGCCCACAGCGTTCTCCTCCTCCTGCCGCGGCACCGGACTCAGCTCGTTTTGCTCTTTGGACTGAGCTCTTGGAGGAACACGAAGCCTGTGAGCAGTAGTAGTGGCTGGCCTTCTCTTGCTGTGATCATGGCCCTGTCTCGGGGACCTTGCCCTGTGAGGACTGCATGTCTTGTTGGTCTCGCTTTGTGAGTTTGGATGGCAGCAGTGATGGAAAGACTCGTAAATCGAAGGGCCTGGATCGTGGTGAAGGTGATGTCTACTACGTCTCGGTGACCGTCTCGGTGACTGGCTGCTTCGTGGACGTTTTCCTGACCGCCTCGAGGCCACAAACTGCCAGAGCGAGAAGAAGTACTCGAGGACCTGCTTGTCCCCCATTTTCTCGATCCATAGCGGGAATCCGGCCATGATCCTGTCGATGGGAATCAATCTCGAGAGGAAAACCTTCTGAGTCTTGGTGCAAGCTGTGTAGGCCCGCCAGAGTGACACGACGAACGAGACGATGCTGTAGCTCGGCAAAGTTGACATGAGTGTCTTCTCCATGGAGCCCAGAAACGTGATCTCTTGGACTGAAGTGCTCGACGATGTCGCCTCCGCGTTGATGCTTCGAGCAAGCTGGGCTTTATAGAGGAACTTCAAGCTTTTCAGATGCCTCGACAGTGTTTTCGACTTGGAGACTGCTAGTGCCCAGCGCCATTTCCACACCACTGCCTTGCCAACTTTCTCAAAAATCGATGGATCGCCTCCGTGGGACGCCGAAACCATTTCTATATTGTTTCTACGACCGTGCTGTTGTTGCGATGACCATTCTCTCGCGAACCTCCTCCTGTGCTCTTCTTCTCGAGAAGGTGGTGGTCGAACGTGATGGCCTCTCTTTGAAAACTCCGAGGGACTAGTCTCTACATACGGACGTAACTCTGGAGCTTGTCTTCTAATGTTCCCTTTCAGCCTCGAGTCAATATTCTCCTCGATGTTTCGAAATGCTTCGTAGACCTCCGAGAACGAGATCGTAGTACCAGCCTTGTTCTCCAAGTTCGCAACCTCACCCACTATGTTTCGCAAGCTTTGTGCCAGAAGCGCAAACTCTTGATTCTGGCGCTGGACGTTTGGCTGGTTTATCCACACCAGGTCCTATTGAAAAAGGAGAGACAAAGATCTTAGAGCATCTCAAAAAAGGAGCGTGCAAAGACATACCAACCTCTTCACTTCGAGACCTGTGTGGCCTCCTTTGAGACGATGGCTCGCCTTGATCATATTCGGCTCTTCTTTGCTTCCGACGCTGAGGCATCAAAGCTAGTCAAGACGATCAGCACTTTTCTCAACGAAAAAACTTCTTATCACAACTTACAGGCATGCGAGCTTGAGTCTGAAGCGCTTGAATTTCTTGTTCTTTAGCCGAGAGCTGCGCACGCAATGAAGCCGATTCAGCCAGAGCGTGAGCTAATCCTTTCTCCCGTTGAGCTCGTTCCTGCTCAACCATGGCCATGCTGGCTTCGTCCTTGCGAGTGACTTCATTCACTCTTCGTAGCTCTTGGTTGAAAGTTCTCTGCAAAAGAGCAGGAAGTATAGAGATTGAGAACCTTGAAAGATGACAGAGTGAATACCTGGAGATGGAACTGACGCCATCGCTGGAAAGCCGAGGCAGCATCAGCACGATCGCTCTCCTGCGAAGAAGGAGCATTGCCCGGTCCAGGATGATCCAAAGACGAGTCACCGGTCTCTGGAGCATCAGAAAGATCAGCTTGGGCCGCTGCATCACTTCTTTGCTCGCAGCTGCCAAAAGTTTGCACGTCCGCTTTCATCTGATCGTGATCTTGGCTTTCACCTCGAGCAGCGGCGGGGACGGTGGCAGTAACAGCAGCACTGGCTTCTTGCTGTTCTTGGCGCTGGTTTTCCTTGCCTTCGGGAATAGTGACCATGCTCTTGTCCGAAACTCCAGGACAGTACACTGTCTTTTGGATCCCCTTCTCGCGATTGTAAAAGACGTGCTTCTCGATCACTTCGGGTTGATCGGTCGCGGCCTTGTCGAATGCCACATAGTATCTAAACAGATTCTTCGCCCTTCGTCCTTTGTTCGCCCCCATCCTCTAGCAAATCCCACGCCCTAGAACGAGGCGATCTGCAGATCCATCCATCAATCCCTCTCAGGTCACCTCGCCCCACACAAGCTCCCGATTCCTGTGCCGGCAATCCCGTGTGGCAGCGCCATCGATCCAATCCACTCTGTCACTCGCGATCACACTACCTCGCGGCCGCCAGCGTAGCCCCGGTGGAATCCAGGCGCAAACCCTACAAAATCTGTTCCTCTGTGGACGGTTTGAGTTGGTTCCCGCGACGCTTGCCAGCCGGCTCAGCCGCCATCCCAGCCGTCCGCTCTGCCGCTAAACAGAATGGAAAAGAACACATTTCTTCTCTCTTTCGTGTTCTCTAAGCAGAGTTGGCCGAAATGTGTGTACCGATGGCTTGGGATATCCTGGATGAATTGGCTTGATCTTCTTGTGAACAAGATTGGGAGCAACAAGGTAGTTTCTTCAAAATTAGTTCATCAAAGTGTGACAATTGATTTTAATATTCAAATATGATAATTATTTTTAACATTTTTCTTTTTTTAAATAAATACTTTATAAGTTTGTTGAACAAGACAACTTACAGTAGTGTTAATTAGACCAGGATGAAAATGTTTTATTGGTGAAATAAATAAATAAATAAATAAATAAAAGCGTTTTAATGATAAATATAAAATTTAGTGTTAATATTTAACTTCTAACTTATTTGATGCTTTCAGCAGCACTAAGAGCATTAGTATTTAAAAGTTTTTGTAACATTTCTAAAATATAAAAATTAACTTTTTATTAATTTTTATTTGAAATAATAAGTATAACTTATCTCAATAATAAATAAAAGTTAGATATATTATATAATTATTTGAAAAAAATTATAATTCCTTTATAAAAGTTGTGCTAATGATGCAGATATAAAGTTTTTGTCATGTTTACTAAAGATATTGTTAATAATTATTTAAACTAAAAACACTTAAAAAAGATTCTTGACACATTGATATTAAATAAAATGATATAATTTTATTAAAAAAATATATGTATATACATAAAATATTTTTTAGTTTGAAAAGGTTTGTCATAATTTTATTAGTTTTAAACTTGATAATTCTATATACTTGGTTTAAAAATCTAACTACTTATATGCTTGTTGAAGTTAATAATATTATTTTGCTCTTTTAAAATTAAATAAAGAAAACTTTCATATTTGTACTTAAATATTCTGTCTAGAGTAAAATATTTTATTTTTGCATTATTAAGAGTTTGAAATATTTTGAAAATTTGTAAGAAGAACTAATTTAAGTACTTATTTCAATGTAAATTTTATTATTAATGTAACCCTTACATATTTTTTATTTTTCTAAAAAATAATATTTATATAAAATTTCTATAGGCTAAATAGATGATCTATAATAATAAAAAAAACTAAAAATTTATAGTATGTTAACATTGTAAACACTATTAAAAAGAGGATATAGAATTTTTCTACCTGGAATGTAATCTCTAGAAACTTGAGAGTCTTTACTAACACACCTTTTGTTTAATTCTTGCTCCCATCCAAAATCTAAAACCATGGCATCGTTATATATCATCTTTACAAAATTATAACTTTTAATATTAGTAGCGGCCTCTCTTGCCTCAACAGGCAATACCTTATTGGCAATCTTCTAGTCAAGAACACCAAAAATGAGTTATGGAAATAATCTGCAGCCCAAAGTGCATTAAAGAAGAAATGAGTGGCATTGAAAAAATAATTATTATTAACATTATGTACTGTAATATAAAGTTAAATATAGACTAAGAGATACATATAAATTAACTTGAATTAATATATTATAAATAATATTAATTTCCCTTTCAAATTCTAAAACAATCTTATCAGTGGCAATTGGCGGGAAAAACTTTATTAAAAGCAAAAACGTGAAATTCGAGCCAGGATTTTAGGGTTTATGGACAATGCGGCTTTTCGCGGCGATCCTGTATCACTACCCCTGCACGGATGGAGTGTTTGCGGCACTGGCAGCGCATCTGTATCATCAGGCCATCGGCAAGGCTGCGCGATTCTTTCCAAATGCTGTCTACCGTCCACTCAGGTTGTAGATGTCCTATTTCGTGTTCTTGATTTCCGCTGGTTTGTGTTGTCAGGGTGGACGAGCTGCCCGTCGAGGAAGTCGACGTGTTTTACCTTTTAGATTTCGTCGGTCCTGCCGGTTTCGTCACAGATCTTTGCAGTAAAGCTAAAGAGTGCGTATTGATTTCTCGATCTCTCGATTATTTTTTTACTTCTCTTGTGAATTTCTATGTATCCAGAGTTGTGGTGTTGGATCACCACAAGACGGCACTCGACAAGCTTCACAGTGAAGACCGTGCGCCACAAAATCTCCATTCAGTCATTGACATGAATCGAAGTGGAGCTACGATTGCTTATGATTACTTTTCGGAGCGTTTTCCAGGTAAATCCATGGCTCGGCCAGTTTTGTTTCTCTACAGACGGCATTCGTTTATTGTGACAAGAACTTTGGAGTGGAGAGCACAAGTTGCAAAAGATGTACAAGTATGTGGAGGATGGCGACCTTTGGCGCTGGAGCATTCCAGAGAGCAAGGCATTTTCGAGCGGTATCCAGGATTTGAAGCTGGAGTACAACGCCGTGCTGAATCCTTCAATTTTCAACCAGGTAGTTCTTTTGTTTTTTTCTGGCAAAGACATTTAGTTTCTGCATTTTGCAGTTGCTGGAACTTGATATTGACTCTGTTCTTGAGAGAGGAAAGCAAAGAATGTTAGTGCATCAAGAAATTATACGCTCTATTCTCGAAAACTCTTTTGAAATCGAGATTGGAAATGGCAAGTTTGGGCGTTTTCTTGTAAGTTTATTTTTTCACGCAGTCATTGTCTTACGGACGGCGAGCTTCATTCCACAGGGTGTAAGAGCAGACAATGCACAGGAGCTTAGAAGTGATCTCGGACATCAGCTTGCGGAGAAAAGTCTTCGCTCTGGCTTAAGGTTCTCATCGTGTTTCAACAGCGAGTCCGTAAGTTCCTCTTCTTTTCTAGGCCTATCGGTGCGGTGGTTTATGAAGTCGAAGAACTTGGAGATCCAGACACTCTGAAAGTGAGCCTTCGAAGCATAGACGATGACACAACGGGTATATCTCAGGTTGGAAAGCTTTGAGTTTGCGTTGCTATGAATGACTAATGCTAACCTGTGCACAGTCCTACGGAGGGGGTGGTCACTGCTGTGCAAGCTCTTTCACGATAAATAAGGCTGAGCTCGAGCAATGGATTTAATCGGGAGTAAGTGCCTCGAGTGGCATTTAAAAAGCGTTTCTTTCTTCTGCAGCTACCAATCGAGTGTTTTTGTTTTTCCTTTTTCCAAACAATGAGGTGCATTTCTCCATTCAGTCAGTGAGTGGTCCCTTCTCTTCGTACATCTCGCTCCAAAATTTTCAACGTTTCAATGCTGTGTTGCCGTGTTAATCCGATCGCTGCGCGTGCTCGATTATAACACTTGTCAAGTGCAAATGTGAACGAAAGCAACCAAGGTAACCCGTGCTTCATTTTTTTTCTTGCTATTGCTCTTTAGTACACATCACTAAGTTCCCAGACAATGTGGAAAAGAACTTGCGCTTTAAGTTCAAGATCAAAGAAAATCCACGTGCTTGCGATCGAGAATTTAGTGAGGCGGCGAGATTCGGGCGTATGATTTGCCATTCATCGTCCATTTACGCCTGAGGTCGTGTAAGTCGCCTTCTCTCTTTGTTGTCGCTGTGAAGAGCACGTAATCTTTTTTAAAACTCGGATGTAGGTACGTGGTGGTGGAACAGACCCAAACGAAAGAGAGCGAAGCTTTTGTCAAAGCTTCACCGTTTCCACTGTGGGGAGGAGGGTCTTTGGCTGCTCCATGGGAAGGAGTGAGTACCCCACCAAAACTCCAATTTGGCACGGCTATAGCAATTGAGCAACGATAAATGAGCCAAGTAGCTAGCGAGCTAAGTGAAACCGAGGCTCGCCGCTCACAAACGACTCAAGTCTCAGGAGGTTCTTCTGTTTTCTCAGGTTCTTCTAAAATGTTTCTTTTCTCTCCTTTACATTTCCCTATGGGTACTCACGTCTCTTTCCAGGCGAGCCATTTTCAGCACCAGCATGCAATGCACACATACCACCACGCGTAGCCCATCGCCCTCGCTTCAGAAAAGATAGATACTTTCGCTCCACATTGAATGAACAAAGACTCGGGCTTTTCGGCTGATAGTGTTCGTTCCTCTCTCTCTCTCTCTCGCTCGTCCCTCTGGTTACACTTGGCTTTTTTTTCTTTTATATTTCCCTTCTTCCCTGAGCTGACTGACGAGAAAATCTGCAGGGAAGAGAGAAAAGAAATCCGGGATTCCTTTCGGCAAAAAGAAAAAACTTGTGCCTTTTCAAGCCTGGTGGTGTCTGCTCTGATTCTCGTGGTGATTGATTGAAAGCTAAGGTCGAGCGAGAGAAATGCAATACCCCATTCCTGCCGCTGCTGCTGCACTGCTTGCTGCTTGAGCACAGTCGTTGTCACTCTCTCTTCAGATTATATAATCTCTTCGCACACTCCTTCGCCACAAAGAAACACAGTGCTGCTCCTCCTGCTCTTGCTGCAAGTCTGCGAGTTTCTGCGAGTTTTCCAGCGCTGTTCTCCTTACTGTTTTCTCTGCCGCGCGAGAGCTTCTCACAAGCAATCGCAAGTGCGAGTGAGTGGGACAGGCAGCAGCAGCTTAGCTAGCAGAAAGATGGAACTTTTGTAGTTTTCACTCGCCATTTCTCTTGGATAGCCATTTCCTGCTGTTTTCTTTTCTCAGTATTTTCAGTGAGGAAGAACGAGTGGAAAAAAGATCAGATATGACAGTTTTTTTCGCTTTGATTCCTGGTGCAAGCTGGGCAATGACACGCTCTGGGGAAAGCCTGCTTGCTACTTAACTGATCAAGACCTCTTGTTTGTTTCTTACAGAGAAATTTTCTCTAGCTATAGCTCTACGATCTCTCTCTTTCTCTCTCTCGAGGGAGGATATAGTCACACTCGTCGCACAACGCGATGGCTTTGCATGAAGTTCTCACTGGAATCAAGGAGGAGCCCCGCTCCTTTCCATCGTCGCCAATGTTGTTCGATCAAGACCATTGCCATGATAGCTTCGATCACTTGCTATACGCTGGAGGAGCTGCCGGATCATCGTCTTTCAATCTTCGTCCTGCAGGGCCCCGCCGCCACGATCAAGAGTTTTGCAGCCAGCTCGATGCGCTAGCGCTGGATCACAATCCTTGCACCTCTCCAATTCCATCCCCCGGCCACAGCAGTAGCAGCAGCTTGGATGGCATCGCTGCAGTGGTGGGACAAAGAATCCTCTTTGGCGGCGGAGGCGGCGCCACCGCCGATTCCACTTCTTCCTCCTCCTCGCACCACCACCGCCACCATCATGATCATCCAGTGACGCCGCGCTACAACGCCGCCGCCACCACCAATTATCGCTGCAGCGTCCCCGACAGCAGCCGACAAGACGACATGGATCTCATGGTCGGCCAAGAACACTTCTCCGAAAGTCACGGCCACTGTTTCCTGGACGATCATACGTTTTACGGCAGCCGTCGCGGCCACAGCGAGCTGGACTTGGATCGCAGCTTGAGTTCCAAGAGGACGAGCCACACCACCATCGACAGTTTAGCAGCGGCGGCGGCGGCGGCGGGCTATTCGCTTGCATCGTCTTCCCCGGATCCTCCAAATGGCGCCGCGGTTAGCGCCGCTACTGGAGCGGCGAATCCCGGTCGGGTGTTCCGGGGAGTCCGGAAGAGGCCGTGGGGGCGATGGTCCGCGGAGATTCGGGACAGGATTGGGAGGTGCCGGCATTGGTTGGGAACGTTTGATACTCCAGAGGACGCTGCCAGGGCCTACGATGCGGCGGCCAGGAAGCTGCGAGGCGCCAAGGCCAGGACGAATTTCGCGATCCCGAGCTCGTCCGGGCAGCCCATCATCCCTCCGGCAGTCTCCCACCATCATCACCAGCAGCAGCAGCAGCAATCCAAGTGTCACGGTACCAACATTTTGCTGAGCAGTAGCTCCTCCAGCAGCGGCTACCAGCATCAGCAGCACAGCTACGATCTCGATCTCAAGCTCAAGCTCTGGAATTCCTCCAATTCGTCGTCGTCTTATCGGAGATCGTAGTGGGATTTGACTCCCCTGTTTTTAGGGTTCTTCAAATGTTAATGAAAATCTCGGCCTTTTCGCGCGCGCCTTGTTATCAGTGTAAGAAAGAGCGAGAGAAACCTCGCGCGCCATGATTGTAAAATTCGACGATGGATCGCTCGCGCCACCTCGAATCCAGTGGCGCTGCCAGTCAACACAGCCAGCCCAGTCAACGCCCCAGTTAAAACCATTTCTTCCAAGTGGGAGGAAGCATGGAGGGAGGGAATCTCAACGCAATCGCATTATCGACGACTCGTTCGTGCGAGCGTTTAGTGTCTTGCTACAAACACAGTGACCACCAGTCCATTAAATTTGCAGAGTGCTAGAGGCGATTGATCGAGATGGCTAGCAGCGGAGCGATTCCACTCCACAAAATTCGATTGACAGTAGCAGCAGCAGCGCAGCACACCGTTGGCTTGGATTTTTTGGATCCATTCGTCCACCATTCCGAGGAGAACGAACAAGACCAACGCGGGAATTGGTGGAATGTGGAAAACTTTCTCCTCGAGCAGCAGTAGCAACAGTAGTACCTGGTACTGTTATTTAGTTTTTCTTTTCTTCCATAGCTCGCGCGATGGCTAGCTAGGCCCTGGCAAAAGCTTAGCACCATCGCAGTAAATGGAGTACGGTAGCAGCGGTAAATCTCTTCCAGCACATTTATCTTCTTTTTCTTGACTCCAAGAAAAAGAAGTACCTGAGTTCCAAGCGAACGAGCTCTAGCCAAAAGTGAAGAGTAAACAGAGAAAGAGTAAAAAGAGAAAAGCTTGGCTTACTTGTTGGACGATCATATGTGATTGAGAGCTCCCGAGAATTTCTTCTTGAGCACGTCGCGTTTGGATCCCCACCTCAAGCTGTTGGTCGGGCCAGTGGTCTCGGCTTGCATGGGATTGCCGATCACGTAATTGCCCATGGTGAGCGAGTCCTGGAGCTGCCGGTGGAGCTCCTTGTTCTTCTTCGTCAGCACGGCGTGCCGCCCCTTGAGCTCTCGGAGCTTCCTCTCAAACGCCTCCACGTTTTCTTTGTGGAGCTCCAAGTCGTCCAGCAGCGCGGGGTTTGTCACATTTACGATATCCTCCTGTTTAGTAGCAAAGAATCATCAGTTGTTCCGATTATAAAAAAAAAAAAAAAGGACCCGTAAAGAGTAAAAGCAGAGAAAGAGAAAGCATGGAGTGGAGACGTGGACGAACCTGCATCTTTGCCATCTTAGCTCGGAGAGTTTTGCACATAGCCTTCACCCTGTGCAGTTCTTTTCGCTTGGCCAGCAATTCAGAGTCCACAGTCTCTAAAGCTTTTGCATCAGTCTGTCACTCACCATAAAACTTCGTCACGAAACCAGGAAACGTAGCTACTTATACCTCGGTCTCCTTCTGGACGTACTGGAGCTTCTCACGAACATGAGTGAGCACGTGAACTACATGCGTGCTCTTTTTCTTGAGCTGGAAGAGCTCGTCATTTTTCTTCGATAGCTGCACACACACAAACACGACGAGAAAGGAGATCGTTTACCTCGTAAAGTGGGAGTTTACCTTCTCGTTGAGTGACTCATTCTCGATTTTGAGCTGCTCGAAGTCGACCAAGTGAAGGCCGCCAGGTAGCTGTTCCTTCTTCCATAATGCCTGCTCCAGCTTTTTCAGCTGAGTCTTGAGCTGCTTCCCCTGAATCCTCAGAGTTTCAATCTCTGCATCCAGATCGTTTTCTTCGGCTTGGAGCTGGCAATAAATTCCCCTCGTCAATGCTCCGTCCCGTACCAGTGTTAGTCTAAAGTATACTACCTTTGCGAGTAGCTTAGGCTTCAGAGGCTTTCCAGTTATGCTGTGTTCGGCTTCCCTAGCCATCTGCACTGGAGTCAGATCGTGCATTTCGTTAGTTTCAGCTGAAAGAAAGAATCAAAGAAAAAGCTGGCGGCTACAGTTTGTTGTTTTGTCATGCAAGATAATTTCAGCAAGGCAACAACGAAAGAACCTGCCACTTGTAGGCCAGAAACTCGGAGCGCATCGCTTTGGCTTCCTCTTGCTTCTCCCTCACTTGCTCTTGCATGTCCTCAATCCTCTCGTCGTACTCGAGAACCAGCCGGTCGATCTCTTCCTTGAGATTCTTCCATTGAGTCAACCGCTGCCAATCAAAACAAGAAACAAGGATAAAACACTTCGAAAGAGATAAAACAAGGATTTTCTCACAGCCTGATACAGTGTCTCGGCACCTTCGAGGAAGAGCTTGGTTCCAATTGTCGAGCGTCGCTTCTGCAGAGCCAGCAGGCGTTTCTCCAGCACCTTGTTCTCTGACTGGAGATCACCAATCTCCTCCATCGTTTCCTAGAAAAAGCAAGGCCATTTGTGTGAAGAACACGGAAAGGAGGGAAGAGAGAAACAACGTTTCATCTTATCTAAGATGTTTAGTGACGATATCCCACCTCGATGTGAAACATGACTTGGTGCCTTTCCTCGGCCTACATTCCCAGTCGCGACACGAATTTAGATCCAAAAAGTATAACAAAGTCGCTTAAAACGAAGACCTGGGGCGCCTCATCCTTAGTCCCCTCCGATGTGGAAAGATCCGTCGTTGTCGTTTGCGGCGATACCTCCTCCTTCTTCTCCATTTGTTGCTCCCCTTGTTTCACCTGATCCATCGCAAAATAAACAAATCATCCACATTTCCCTCTCCATCACGCAACAATCTCACCTCGTCGCCCTTGACTTCTTCTCCTTCCTCCGCCATCGAGAGCGAGCGATGGCGATCGAGCGCGACAAGGAGGCGAGATTCTCTCACTCGCTCGATTCCTTCTGGTAGTTAAAAGAGCCCTAAAAAAGAATCATATGTGAATCATAGTTTATAAGATAAAAGGTGCTCGGAAGAACGTCATCACCAGTGCCTAGAAGTAAACTACAACACGTATTCACAGGCAAGAAAAGAATCGTTTCGTCAAAGTTGAGTTGCGAGACTAGAAATCTCTGCTCGCTGCTGCTCGCTGCTGCTTCGATCGAGACGAGAGAGATCGATCGAGCGGTGGAATCACACGACGCTGATTGGAACGTTGTTGCGGTCCCGCAAATTGCTGCTGAAAGCCGAGGACGAGGAGCTCTTGGAGTGGAAGGCCGAGTGTCTCGTCGATGGCTCGTCCAGCTTGAGCGGCTCCACCGACAGTCCCAGCCGCAGTTGCGGAAGCTCGCCGCTGTCGAGCCTCACCGGAGCTCTTGGGAGGCTGGCTGTTGGCCGGACGAGCTTGGAGGAGGAGGATAGCGATGGCGATGGAGCTGGAGGCCGGTCCATGCACGGGCCGAGGCCCAGCCACACCGGCACTGCCACGGGAATTGGGACGGGCACCGGGTGGAGGAAGGCGACGGGGGCTGCTCTTGTCGTCGACGAACTTCTGTTGGTTTCCTCGTTGGTGGTGTCTCCCTCGCTCGAGTCCATCACCTCCTCCTCCTTCACGGAATCGAGGGCCATCGCTACTGGGAACGGCTGCAAGCTCTCGCGAAATGTTGGAGCGACGGATGCTGGCGCTGGACCGCTGCTCAATTGGCGGAGTGGTGGTGGCGGCATCGCATCTAGAACAGGACTGGTGAAGGAGTCAAATCCACCAGTAGCAGCTGCGACATCCTGGAAGCCAAAGTTTGAGCGCAATTCCTTCTTGCAAATCGAACAACTTACCACCTCTGGAGAGATATCAAAGAGGCTGGAGCGCCTCTTCCTCTTGCTTAGATTACTCTGCCGGATAAAATACTTTTGCGCGTGGCTGGCGACCTGCGTGGGAGTCCGCGTCGTCACAAAGTTCTTGGCGATGCCCCTCCAATCGCCCTTTCCGAGCTTTTGCAAGCCCAGGAGGAAGCATCTGTGCTCTTCCTCCGTCCAGGGAACTCCTGCAAGCCAAGAAAAGCCCTCCTTTGTGAGTGGAAACGAAGAACAAAGGAAGAAATCTAAGTTACCACTCACTCACCTTTCTTTCTCTCGCGAGCATTGCTGGATGTTTGGACGAGTCCATCAGAGACGTAACCATCGGCGATAGCTCCGGAATCCGAGGGCTCCGGCGTGGCGGCGGAGGGATTGTAATGCAGGAGATTGCCCATGCTGGCGCTCTTGCGCATCCCCTCGGTCAATCTCACTCCAAACAGCCTCACGCCGCGATCGGGGCACGTCCGCGAGTTGTGTCCATTGTGCCCGCAATGGGAGCACTTGCGCGTCATGCTTGTTCCTCCTTAGCAGCTATGGCGGGGAAGGGAAAACCTAGCGCGCGACACGAGAGATCAGCAGAGTATGGGAGGGAGAATTCCCAGCGCTTGCTCGCTTACCAGATTTCTTCCAGGGCGAGAGCGCCGCCGTCGAGCTCGAGATCCACAAACCCTAAGCGCTCGAGGAAGGAGGAGGAGGAGGAGGAGGAGAAAAATCAAGGGGGAAAAAAACCAAGCACACTCCAAAGGCGCACAAGGAACAACAACCTCGCAAGGTTAAAGTAAAAAAAGAGAAGGAAGAAAATGGGCAAGTAAAAGATTTAGAAGGTGGTACCTAGTTAAAACGCGGAGATGGACGAGTGGATCCCAAAATGGATGGACTGTCGTGGCGCCACGAGGCGGCTCCGCCGCCAGGGTTCGTACAGCACTTGGTGATTATATGTGAAGATATCCGCATATATGGTTGGTTGGTTGGCATATAATTTTCACCCTCTCCTTCCCCAAATGTGCCAAATATTTTAGCGTAAAGACTTTGATTCTCTATTCCTTGGCTCTGCCCGGGGAAGGGTTCCACCTTGCCCTAATATAAACTAACGAATATGCCTGTGTCCCCCAACACATGGAAATCGCATCTTTGACGGATGGACGAGGAGAGTTACACGCATGCACACTTTACAAGTTTTCCTTTCATCTTCGTACAGAGACATAAATTTTCTTTGCTTTTTAACTTCCCGCTTGGTGGAGTAGAACGAACGAACTCATCCAAAACCGGATTACGTGAAAATCTCGAGAGAAGCTTCTGGTGTGACAGCGATGGCGCAACAATTTCTTTTCGAGCAAAACTCGCCATCCTGCGAGAGACATGGGAATCACGTGGAGTAAGCTGGATCACAAGTCACGCAACACAACAAAAGAGAGCATCTGTGCGAGTTCATGGAAATTTTTTCATTTGTTGCCATGTCTTGCTCCAGCAAACGCTACGAGCCTGAGCTATAATGGCTCCAAGGCGAGCTAGACGCATATACAAACGCATCATCTTCTCTTCTCTCTCCTGCAGAAAAGAAAGCTTTTTTAGCTCGAGAGACTCGAAGAAGAGAAAGAAAGCCACCACTCACCGAGTAAAAGCTGACACGCGAGAAAGGAAAGGTGCGCTCGCGAGGAATCACGTCACGATCCGCAGTCGACGAAGTCTTTGGATTGATCAATTGTATCTGCGAAGGAATCCGTGAGTGTGGTGGGGACTCGAGCAGCCGACGCAGCAGTCACGCCTGTTAAAACCGACGCAGCAGTCACGCCTGTTGGAACCCGTCACCTTCGAGACAAAGTAGAACCTCGACTTTTAGTAGCGGCAGCACACATACCTTCTCACCGGTGCAGAGATCTCGCCAGGCAGCTGTGGATGTTCGCCATCAAATCGTAAGCAGCCGCGTGATCTCCTTTGGCTCCCACCAGTGACTCGAAAGCAATCTTCCCGGCTCCGAAGTTTCCATCTTGACACGCGCCCAGGACTGTTCTCCAAGCCAGCGCCTCGGGTTTGAATGGCATTCGCTCCAGAGTCTCCACGGCAGCTTCCACTAAGTTGGCCCGTGCGAGCAAATCCACCATGCACAGATAGTGCTCCATGCCCGGATCAACCCCGTACCGAGAACGCATTGCCTGAAAGCAAAGTTTCCCAGAGTCAACAAGCCCCGCACGACTGAACGCGGCCAACAAAGACACAAAAGTCGTACCGTTTGGTCGGGACCCCGCTGTTTCCATCTCATGGAAAAGTGCCAGTACTCGATCGGTGTCGCCTTGACGGGCATATCCAGCAATAAGAGCAGTCCAAGTCACTGTATCTCTGCAACACAGCGTGTCAAAGACATGCTGAGCGCAGGAAATTCTTCCGCACTTACCGTACGTGTCTACCACGGAGTTGGCTACAAGTCGATCGCTCTCGAGGCCACGCCTGCAAGCAGCTGCGTGAGCCTCTCTCGCCATTTGCAAGTCGACGGCACCGCCGCAGGCCTTGAGCACAGCCGCAAAAGCTTTACTGTCCGGAACGCAGCCTCCGTCTCGTTTCATGAGCGAAAACAGCTCGAGAGCGAGCTTCGCTTCACCAGTCTCGGAGAAACCTGTTATCAGCGCCGTGTACGTCACCACGTTCCGGTGTGGCATCCGGTAAAACACCCTGCTTGCGTCCTCCAAGCTCCCGCACTTGGAGTACATGTCAACCAAGGTGTTTGCGACGAACACTTCGATGTCACAGCCACGTCTCGCAGCTTCCGAGTGAAGAGCCAGTCCTTTTTCCAGAGAGAGCTGCTTGTAAGACTTGTCGTTCACCACTGTCACCTCCTCTTTCTCTGCCATGCCCGTGCAAGCCTTGAGTACTGCCACAAAGGTCCTGGCATTGGGTGGACAAACAGCTCCAAGGTTTGCCATTGACACAAACAGCTCCAAGGCCAGTTCCTGTCGGCCATTGTCAACGTAACCGAGCATCAGCGAAGTCCAAGTCACGACCGTGAGATTCTTCATGCCGTAAAAGACCCTCTCAGAATCCGCCAAGCTCCCACACTTTGCGTACATGTCGACAAGTGCGTTGGCAATGAAGATGTCGTCTTGGTCTTTGCAACACCTTGTCAGCTGAAGATGCACTGCCAGGCCCTTTTCCAAAGAGAGAACTTTGGCGACTGTCTCGTCGCTTTCACGAACCGCTTCCTTCACTGCCAGATTTGTGCAAGCCTTCACTGCAGCAAGGAATGTCCGACCGTCCGGCTTGCAAGAGTTGTTGCACAGCATCCACTCAAGTAACTTCAAAGCGACATCTTCTTCACCGTTCTCAGCATGCCCCAGTATGAGTGAATTCCACGACACAACGTTCCGGCACCCCATCGAGTCGAAGACTCTTCCAGCGTCTACCAAGCTTCCGGAGTTGGCGTACGCATCTATAAGAATGCTCGCCACATACAAGTCTGAAACACAGCAGCCACTAGTTTTAAGAAGCTCGCAATGCAAAAACATTATTTTTTCCAAGGAGCTCACCTTGACAGCCTTACCGTCCATTGCACTGCTGCCTTCCATCGCTGCCAGACGGCTACAAGCCTTCAATGCTGCTACATAGGTTCGAGAATTCGGAAGAACCGCTCCCGAGGATATCATGTGAGAAAACGTTTCCAAGGCCACCACCTCCTGGCCATTCTCTACAAGTCCCAGAATCAACGCAGTCCATGATACAACCGTGTGAGACGGCATTCCATCGAAAATACGTCGAGCTTCGGCCAGGATGCCGCATTTTCCATACATGTTGATGAGGGCAGTGGCCAAGTAAACGTTGGATCTTTCTTCACGCACACTGATTAAAGAGTGAATTTTTCTCCCTCGGTCAAGGTCCCTTGTTCTAGCGCACGCTTTAAGCTCCGCAAGAAGTTCTACTTTTAAACCTCCTTCCTTATTCTTCCTGTGATTGCATACCTGGATGGAAATGGACTCCCCTGCGCACACGCCGCTTGTTCGCATGGCCTCGGGGCATTAGGCAGAAGAACCCTATGCCTTGGAACCATTAACTTCCCCCTAAAAGGAAAATTAGTTTGGAAAAGAGAACGCTCGCCCGATTCTTACCTGGTAGTAGCCTATGAATCTAGAGCACAAAGTTCATCAAACTCGGCCAGAGCAGCCTCCATGGCTGATGCAACGTCCCCGTCGTCTTGATTGTTGTCACAAAAGTAGTCTGTTTCGTCCGTGCCACGATCAAAGGGATTGACGCTTCCAACCTGCTATACTTTCCACTACCATCACTCATCTAATCAGTAATAACAGGGACACCGTACCTCGCAAAATTGAGCGTAGTGCAGATAAGCCGGGCTATTTTCGACAGTTCCAAAAAGAAGATCGCTCCCATACCATTTCTCTGACTCCGTCGTAAGGGATAGACTAACAAGAAAACCAATTTAGACGAAGAAAGACAAAGAGTTGAGCTCTTGCCTGTCAGATACATCCTGTTCGGAAGGCATCACCAGTCCTACCCAATCGTCCTCCGTAGAAACTTCAGATTGCTTCTCTTTTTGCAATGGCTCTGACGCCACAACTGCTGGCGGCTCCTCATGCTTCCGTTGGCCAAACAGCCAGTTGGGACTCTTTAACTGCACTTCTCTGTAGAATTACGGGGTTAGCTATTTCTTATTCCATTCCGCTTATACTTACGCAGCATCAGGGGCCGTGCAGGTTCCTTTCGGATCTGAATCACTCTGAGTGCAGACTACCTTCAGTAATCCGCTCGTCACCTGCATGATTTTATCAAATGATGTCAGCTTCAACCGAGTGGACTCGTCATTGGAAGTCGATAGCTTTGAAATCGTCGTTTTTGAGCTGCTGGCTTCAACTTTCGGCGACGGCTTCCTAAAATACCACGAGCTGGTTACTGAGCATCTCCACACTAATAAATTAATTACTTACAAGACGAAATCTTCAAACAATTCCTCGCCACAGCCAGCGACATGAAGGTAGTAATCTGAATCAAGATCCCACAGAGCTGGTTTTCCTTCTTGCGGTTGGAAGTAGCCTAAGAACCTGGGCAGACACATGGTCGTGAAAAAAGGAAAAGAGGAAACATTTCAAGTGCTTACAAGTTCATCGCGTCTTGCTTCTCGCCGTCAGTGTAAGTGTTGCTGTAGTACCGCTTAATTGACTTCAAGAACTCTTGAGACTGCGTGGTCGCCTTCCACCTCCCATGCCTCTCAGGAAACACCTGGCAGCAGCACTATATGTAAGACTAATCAGCGTCGATGGTTCTTACGGTGTTGTGAGCTGCGGAGCCACCATACTGAAGAGCCAATGCATCTCCCATATTCTGGTACATGTCCATCAGAGCTGCAGCTATGGTACTGTCAGGATCTACTCGCGGTACGTTTGTGATTCCAACGGAATGCAGTTGCCGTCCAAGTGCTGCCAAGCCATATGCGTACTGCGCAACATTTGTGCGATCCAGGCAATCAATACAATTTGTTCTCAAAACTCCAGATTGCAAGGTCCTCCCTCGGTCATAGTTTACTGTATCGCTGGAGCTTGCCGTTTCAGAACCCCCAGTGTATCTGTCAGAGAATATTGTTACCGTAAACAGTTCAGACCACGAGGAAAGCTTACAAAGACGGACGTTGAAATTTCTTTTTTTCTTTCCATGGTCTCCCGCTGTAGTAGAAGCCAGTCAAGTCCAATGCTTCAGTTGCAACAGCTCCAAGCACAGCCAAGACATTTGCAGACTTACTGGAATCACAGCGTCAATGAGGTGAGACAAGAACGAAAAACAAAACACCTTTTGGCAAACTTGTGGAAGTCCCAGTGGATAAACTTTAAACGACGTTCTTCAGGAAGAATCTGATTGAGATAACCGACTGCAGTTGCAAATTCACGTCGCAGCATCATTTCACGCGGTCTTTTCTCCACCGTCTACACCGGATTCACACGATAAGAGCTTAACGCTAATATGACTACACTTGCCTTTATAAGGTTGAGAATTATGATTGGATCGCCATATCTTCGTGAAAGGTCTTCAAAATGCAGCTTGGTAGCCAGATAGACCGGATCATATCTTTGTACTGCACAAGAACTGTTAGTCATACGCAATCAAAAGCATCCGAGGCACTCACAGACAATGTCGGGCTTTGGACTGAGGCGAGAAGCTTCTTGTGACCAGAAGAGCGGGATGGATCCACGGTTTTGCACCACAGAGCTCATGAGGCCCGGCTTGGTCTCGTCAATCACAATCTGCTCGGTTTCGACATCATTTGCGACTCTGCCTTTATCATTCACACCTCTTTTGAGATATCTGCACGTCATCATAAAGAACATGAAAAAGTTAAAAACCAAAGAAAGGAAAACAGCGAACCTCGTCCCGGCAAAATGCCGCGACCTCCGTGCAATGAGCGTGAGGGAGAAAACATGACCATAGATTGAAAGCTTTGCCTGACAAAAAGCCGAATTCTTCTCAGCACAGCAAACGAGCAAGTAGCAAGTACCTGCTCAAAGTGCCCGTGAACTAGCGCCACAGTCCACCTGGTGTTTCCAAGACGACGACGAATTCCCAGCGTCAGAAAAGCATTCCAGACGAACATGTTGTCGTAAGGAATGTTACTATCCGCACCTTCACCCGCTTCTAGTGCGTTCCTCTGGAGAGTGTGCATGAGATTGTACGTGTAGCTGAAGTAGAAGTCTTTGGTGAGATCCACGCTAGACAGCAGCTTCCTATACCTGTAAGAAGAACAAAATGGAAGAGGACGAAGAAACACGGATGGAGCAGAACGAAGAATTTTTTTTTTACCTGAGCTCGGTCTTGGAAGCTGCTACTTCGGTCTGGACAGTGGGATGAGGAACGGTGAGAAGCTGGTTCTCATCGATCGCATACACAGCATGACCACACAAACTTCCAATCTGGCGACGCTTGGAAACAAGGAGCATGTAATGTGATTCGCGGAACTTGATAAACCCTGCAAAGAGAAAGAGATGATCCAATCATTCGATCGATCGTGGCTGAGCTCAGCTAGAGGAGGAACGGTCGCTCACCGACAATGCCGTAAGCCTTGGTAACGAGATGGAGTCCACCAGTGGCCTTGTTGCCCTCGGCGACCCTCTGCAAGCTCCCCGCGCATTCGTGCTTGGTGTAGACGACGGGATCTTCCACAATATTGAGCTCCGCAGGCTCGGTCCTGTCGATCTTGAGGATTCTCCAGTGCCGCTTCTCGGAATCCCTCGCAACCAGGTAGAACCACTGCCAACAACGCAATCGATCATCACACAAATCCAAATCGCATCAAGCACAGCGCACCGATTGCGTCTCGTAGAGCTTGAATTTCTCCAGGGAGTAGCTGCCGCCACCGCCAGGCGTCGGCATAGCAGCAAGGAATTAGGGTTCTTCAAATTGATTAAAAATTGTACAAGTGTTCTTCGTAGCGATATAGTAGTTTCCCCTCTCTTTGTTCTTTCTCGAATCAAGCTAAGCTTTAGCTGGGAGTCACGGAAGAATTCGCTGTCGCCAACGCCACCGCCGCTGGTGCCGCATTGGCCGCAGCTTCCGCCACCCTGGCTGTTCTTCGATTCAAGTACCTGATCACTGCGTCCTCCACCCTGCACGAAAATTTCGACCGATCAATGAAACAAGAACAGCCAAAAAGCAAATCGAGATCACAAACCATGGTTGGCAGTAGAAATCCGATCGACGCTCCTTCTCCGCGTTCCGGCTGGCCTGGCCATTGATGATCTTGAGGTCCCGGCTCTGCGAAGCGATGAGACCATTGATGAACTCCACCGGCGAGTTGCTAAACCCGAGAAAGAAGGCTCTCCTCTTGCGGTGCTCGTTGATCTTGCGGATGGAGCTGCAGATGAGCTCGTCGTAGGCCTCGATGTCCCTGTGCCTCTCCATGTTGGCCAAGAACATCGCCATATCCTTTTGCAGCGGCGTCACCACGTCCACCACGATGTCGTAGCACGCGTTCCCGGCGGGGTTCTTGCCGCTCAGCTTGATCTTGTGCTCCAGCTGGATGGGTTGTGGAGCCGAGAGATGCTGGTGGAGCCGGTTCAAGATGGACGTGAACTTGACGCGGTCCTCGCCCAGGATTCTCTGGAGTGGCAAGTCGCAGTTGACGACGGTGGGATCGCTCGGGTTCTGGAGCTTCTTCCCTTTGATGTAGTGCCAGAAAGCCGCGATGATCCGAGCTCGCGTCTCGACCTCCACACCCAAGAGCTCCGCCAGCGGCGGCGAGAGCTTGTACCTCTCCGGAGTATACTTCATGTCAAGCCGGATGATCGCGGTCAGCTCCTTGTCGCCTTTCCTCTTGATCTCGAATCCCTCCACGGGAGCGCTGCCGCCGCCACCGCCGCTGCCATTGCTGGAGATGATCCCGCCACTGTTGTTGCCGGTGCTCCTCGACGCATCCCAGACGATGGTGGAGTTCTCGGGATACATTGCCGGGTCGAGCTGGACGGTGATCCTCTTGAAGAAGGAGGAGAACTTTGGGAATGGCAAGCTCTTGGCGGCGGCGCTCTCGGTCTCGCCATCGTCCCCGACGATCCTGCCCATGATCCGGAGCGTCCACGAGGGTGGCTCGCCCGGGTTGTATCCCATGTGTGGGTCGTGGTTGTTTACCTGGTTCGCATACGTATTGAAGACGTACATGCGTAGCGTTCGCTGGTAGCGCGGTGGATTCTGGACGCTCTCCTGGATCTCGAGCTTCTTCCGCGCCAGCGCCGCGTCCACCCGGCCCTCGAACTCCAGCAGCTGCGAGTAGAGCGCCGACTCGGGGAGGAGAGCTCCAACTCTATCGGGGATTTGCCTATCGCCGATCTTCCTCCTCTTGCGCCTAGCGGCGGGATTGGCTTCGCCGCTCTTGATCGCCGCTGCCGCCGTTGCCGCCGCCGCCAATCTCTGCTGCTGCTGCTGCTGCTGCTGCTGTTGGAGCATTTGCATCTGGATCATCTGCATTTGATGGATCTGGTGTGGCTGGGGTTTGATCATCCCACCGGCGCTGCCCTGGACGCCCCCTCCTCCCCCCACGCCTCCCACCGCGAGGCGCTGCTTGAGGAGCTGCTGCTGGAGGGGGCCGGCGGCGCTGTTGAGCATCCCGCCATTGCGACCCGCCGCCGCCGCCGCCATCGCCATTTGCATCTGCGCGGCCAAATGCTGGCTCTGCTGCTGCTGCTGTTGCTGCCCTTGCTGGAGCTGCTGGATCATCGCCGCTGGAGTGGCGGACGAGGAAGGTTGCCCCGCCCCAGCACCTGGCTGCCCTGCCGCCATCGCCTCCTAGGGCTCTTGAGATTAGGGTTCTTGGAGTTTTATAAAATTCTTTCTTTTTGCTTTCCCGGATGCCATCCATCGCCTTGGCATGAAATGCTCCACTACTTAAATCTCTGCGCGCTCGCCTGTGGCTCTTCTCGCCATGATCGATCGATTCGATCGAAATGCTGCCGCTGCTCCTGGCGCTCTTGCGATCTTCTTTGCTCGTAAGCGGCGCTCCTTTTCCTCAGCACCGCTACGATGTTCCTGCGCTCTTCGTCTTTGGCGATTCCTTCGTCGACTCCGGGAACAACAATTTCTTCAACACCTCCGCCAAGTGCAATCACCCGCCGTATGGGATCAACTTCGAGGGCCGGCGATCCACGGGGCGATGGAGCGACGGGCTCATCGTCACAGACTACATTGGTATCGAGAACTCTCGTCTTGTTCTTCCATTCTTGCTTCTCTCAAGAACGCTTTGCTGGACAGCTTCGTTCCTGGGACTCCCATATCCTCCAAACTTCCACGACAAACGCGGCAACTTTAGCACCGGGGCCAACTTCGCGTCCGCCAGCGCTGGGATTTTCAACACCACCGGCCTGGTAAGGAGAAGAAAAGCCATGATCCAATCTCACGAACTTTGTCCTCCACTCGAAGCAAGGCATCCGGACGTTTGAGCAGCAAATCGGCGACTTCGAGCAGCTAAGCACAACGCTGGAGCAGCACCACGGCCACCGGACGATCTCCCGCGCCATCTTCTACCTCAACATCGGCACCAACGACGTCGCCAACGCCGTGCGAGCCACCGGGAGCCAAGCTCCGCTCGAGCTCCTCGCCGCGCTGCTGCGATCGCTCGAGCGCGACCTCCGCCGCCTCTACTCGTGTGGAGCTCGCAAGATGGTGGTGGTGTCCGCGGCGATCATCGGGTGTCCGCCACTGGAGAAGCGCTCTCTTCCCTGCAAGCCAGCCGGGGAGTCCTCGGCCCGGGCCTACAACCGAGCTCTCCAGCAGCTCCTCCGCGACTTCAGTTCCTCCCACCTCGGACTCCACATCGTGTACGCGAATCTCCACGACTTGATGATGGGTGTGATCCAGCAGCCAGGTGCTTTTGGATTGTCCAGCACTGTGGATCCCTGCTGCCCGGTTGGAGGTGGACGATGGTGCAATGCCACCGATAGCTACTGCTCAAACCCATCGCAGTATCTCTTCTGGGACATTGCACACCCTTCAAGTGCTTTCAACCGGATCGCTGCTCACAGGTTTTGGAACGGGACTCTGCGAGAAACGTTTCCTTTCAACATCCGCCACCTTGCTTCTCTGTGGTAGAACTTCACGAAAGTGTTTGGCAAGTATCCATCTTTCTTTTAAGAAAATAATCGCTTCTACATACCTCGAGCTTGGAGCTATTCCATAGCTTACCTTTCATCCCATTTTGGAAGTACTATAGCTTGCGCCCCTATAGATTCAACTTGCAATCTTGCTATCACGCAATCACCTCGGTGAACCGGACGACGCAATCGTACAGTCGCCCCCCCAAGAACTCGGCCACTTCCTGATGCTTAACCTGTAAAAAACTCTCCTAGTAACCTCTTCGGAGCCTTGACACACGCATCACATAGCTACGTACCATTCCTACTTTGAGGGAGTCGCAACGAAACTGCGCGTACAAATTGGTCTCAATGGCTCTTCCCTGTAACAATGTAGCATGATCAGTGATAAGAATCACAGGCATGATCATGAATTGGAAGTTACCATCCCCTCCAGAATGACAAGGTCGGCATCAGCGGCTGCGAAAGCTAGCTCTTGCGACACAGATGATAAATCGATCACCTGAAAAGTCGTCACTCGGTGAGTTTCTAGATGAAAACTTGGAGTGAGCTTACGGGTAAGTCGTTCCCAGTGTTGATAACCATGAGGCCGCTAGCATCGACTCCCTGTATCTTTCCGTCTTCTCCTTTCAGCTTGAAAACACGAAAACGATGCCACGAGTCAATAAAGCGACAAAAAACCCGAGACTTCAAACCTTGGACATGATTTGCAGCAGCTCCGCGTAGGTGATGTCGTTGATCGAAGGCAGCTCGTTGGCAGCCAGGACCACCTAAAAGGAGGAAGCATACAAATAAAAAACAGGCTTCTTTGTTCCAAAAACTTTGAGATTGAGAGCATGGAAAGAATGCAGCCACCTGTGTACCTCGTCGAAGGAGTTCTCGAGCCAAAGGGATGATTCCCAGAATGATATCAGCCCCCGCATTGTCGACAAAGATGACGGCCTGTGAACAAAGCACGCTTTAAAGATCACACAAGAAATGACAGATTCTCACCTTTTTCCAGGATCGACGTAGCCACATAAGCTTAAACTTGTCTAGATCGTCAATCACCCAAGGACGAGGCAGTAATTTCTCCACACTCTTGACAAAAGACATGCCATCGCTCTTGTACATTTCTGCGAGCTATAGTTCACGAGTTTTAGCGACTAGATAGTTCAAGAGATTGATTACCTCTGCGGAGCCGAGATCAAACACATTTCCTGCGAGCAAGCATTTGACAAGGTGTTCCAATCGCCCACCATCGTCAGCTACGGCGTCCGCGGCTTTTACAACTTCCTCAAACAAAACGAAGGCTTTAGCGTTCTCGTCGTCCTAGATAGAAAGAGAAACGCACTAAGTAGGGAGGAACACTTTACAAAGAGAAAAGGCCAACTTACTTTGACACTCTTGAAGATATCTCGGAATCCAGTTTCACGGAGACATACCTCTCGAAGCCTACAAAGAAGCTAAGGAAAGAAGAAGAAAAGAAAAAATGTAAGACGACCACGATTGGCATTGGATTGAATGAATGATCTCTAGGAAACTTACAATGCAATCAGGAGGTCCACCGTGACTCTCCGGATTGGCCTCTAGATCGTCTAGCATCTTCCCGAATCTAAGAAACCATGAAAATAAGATCCATCACTTGCAAGAGATTCTCTTACCTCGATGCAAACACACGCGCCTTGGCAGCTGCGTCGGGCACCGAATCGTCCATCTCCGCTCGCTTGCTGGGGCAAAACGCGAGGCGATTTGAGAATCTGTGCGGAATCGCTCACAGTAGAACCTGAAAGAAGGGATCGATCTGCGGAAGAGCTGGATCCAGAGCATCTCGGTGGGGGTGGGCTGGTGTGGCGGATCCGATGGGAATCGATAGGGGATGGTGCACGGCCTGTAGGTGTAATCCACCCATTCCTTGAGCAAGGGAAAGACCACAGCCTCGCCCGCGCTCTCCATTCCTTGCTAGCCTAAAATCCTGCGCGCCCTAAACCCCAAGTGGAGAAAAAATAGAGTGTCCAAGAGACCAAGGTGGTGGAACCTCTCAACCATATCGTAAATCGCAAATTTTCCTTACAATGTACCTAGAGGGGGAAGTAGTTAAAGTGAGCATGTTTGAAGGGTTGATATCTTGGAAGCTCTCATGGAAGAGGAACGACCAACGTGTTTTCTACTGGGGTGTAATAGGACAAACTCCTACCTAGGTTTAGATAGCCGTGAAAGAGAGAGAGAAAAAGAAAATGGAGGCCATGGCTCGCGGTGGCATGCCGCCGTGTCGATCGCCGGGACCTCCCGCGGCTATGGCAGCAGCAGCCGCCGCGGCAGTCGCGGTAGCAGTGAATTATTCATATGCTCATCTCAAGCTTTCTCTTCCTCCTCCCTCTCCATCGCCATTCTTTGCCGCCATATCCATGGCTCTCCCCTCTCCTCCTCTCACCGTGGAATCCTCCACCGGGGCCGAGTTCCCTGCTTGGATCGACAGCGATGGCGCAAAGCTGGAGCTGGCCGGCACGGGACTGCGCAAAAAGAGCATCTTGGGCCTCAAGAGCATCGTCGTCTACGCCTTTGGTTCAAACTCCCATCTTTTGGCTTCCATCTCTGACAATGTGTGCTCGCTCGTCCAGGAATCTATGCCAACGCCGCCAAGCTCCGCGAGCTCAAGCTTAAGGATGACAAGAAGGCGATCTCGCTGGCGGAGCTGCCATGCATGGATGCGGAGATGAGCGTCCGGCTCGTCATCGTCTACGGCAAGCTCAAGATGGGCACCGTGCGCAGCGCCTTTGAGGAATCCATTGGCGGACGCATCAAGAAGTTCTCCGGGGCCGAGAACAAAGAACTCCTCCAGAGGTTTGTTGCTTCTCTCCTTTCTTAGCACTCGATCTCATCTCTTTGCTCCTCCACAGTTTCACTCAGCTCTTCAAGGAGGATATCAAGCTGCCAAAGGGGACAGCCATCGACATGGTCCGACTCCCCGGTCACGTCCTGTCCACCAGAAGTAAGTTCGCAATTCATAGCTCTTCGAGTTACAATTTTCTGTTCTTCCTTCTCAGTCGATGGCCAGGAGGTCGGGAGCGTCAAGAGCGAACTCCTGTGCCGCTGCCTGTTTGATCTCTACATTGGTGACGAGCCATTTGACGTGGCTGGCAAGGAGGCGATCGCTGCAGGACTCTCCTCGATGCTGAGTTGAGTACTTTATATCTGCATTGTTTGATTGATTCCAATGCCGGGAAATAAAAAAGCAAAATGCGAGAGAGCTTCTTTCTTGTTTGAAAACCACTTACTCGGTGTTATGAGCTCTCATCTGGTGCTACAATACGTTGGTACCGAGGCTTGTTCTTCCTCATCAATGCGTATGTCATTGTGTACCAAAAGAGGAGAATTCGGCCTTCTTCCACCATTGCCTTGTTTATAGTGCTGTCACCGAATCCCAATCTTTCCAGTGCCTGCAGCACGCCGTTACATTTTCTCGATAAGCGCAAGATCGCATCAAGAACAAAAACACAGGAAGATCAGTATTAAATACCTGTTCCCCGTTGGGAAGATCATACGGTTTGTCACACTCGAACTTTAATCCCTTAAACTCGTTTATGCACAGTGCTTGGAAAGCCCTGCATTGAACGACATTGCTCAGAGCCGAGAAAGTAGATTCAATGCTTACCATCTTATGAGTGACACTCGCGGAATCCAGCGGAACATGACGGGAGCGTTCTCCGAGTTCACGTAGTAGCCACCAAAGACGATGAACACGGTCATGAGCGATGGTCCCAGTGCCATTGCTGCCTCCGTACTGGGAACCATGGCTCCCACACACAATCCCATAGCCGACGCCGCGAAAGACTCTACAGTCACAATGCTTGAGAAACTACCAAACCTGTAGCGCATGCAAACCAACTTTAGAATGGAAGTGAGTGGTAGTTTACTACAAGGTATCACCTCTTTGCTGATGGATGGAGCCGAGCCATTGGATAGAGAATGGCACCAAAGAGGAGAGGAAAGGCAGCACCAATTGGCATCTCCGCTATGAGCTTCGCAGCCAAGTAAGGTGCCAAACCGTAGCTTCCCTTGGCTCTCTCTCTATCAACGATAGCACGTTCCTTAGGAAAGACATTGACAGTCTTGGTCAGTGCAGCCATTGCAGTGTTCACAGCTGCAACCTGTAGAGAGGAGTGAACTTACATAAATCCATTACAAGGCAATTCAAAACAGACCTGAAGGAGACCCATACGATCTTGAATTGACGTCTGGGAACGCCCCATTCTCCAGTAGATCGAGCCAAAGATCATGGCAGCTGCAACGGACATCCTACTTCGCACTTTGTTTGTCGGGCCATCGCGTATTGCCTGGTAATAAATGAACGGAGTAAGCTCTTCGAAAGGTTCCTGCACACGCGTACATACCTGCAGCCAGGCTCGTCTAAAGAGCAGCCTGAACTGCTTCCACCACCCAACCTTCTGCTGTGTAACATGTTGTGTGGAAAGCTTTACGGGAGCTGGCTCGGTCCCAGAAAGTGATCGAGTGGCATACAGTGTAGTCGCAAAAATTTCCACAAAAGCTTCCACGCGCTTTCTTGAGGCTGATTCTTTCTCCGGGGAGCTATAATCGATCGAGATGAGGTCGGCAAAAAATTCCGCCGGATTTACGTGTTCTGGACACGAATGCCTGCGATAAACTTCTGTCAGAGATTTCATGCTGAAAAATATAAACTGCAAACCCGAGGCCTGCAAAATATGCTAGAGCTTCATTTTGTGCCGGGCCTGCATAAATGACTGATCCCTCCGAGAGCAATAAGAGGTCGTCAAACTTGGAATAGATTGATCCACGAGGCTGATGAATCGAACACACAACGGTATGACCATCTTGGGCAAGTTTCTTGAGAGTTTCCATCACTTGCTCTGCTTGAAATGCATCAAGTCCTGGCCAAGGGAAAAAGTCCAAGGAATCAGAAATGACTCCGAAACTGCGTAGCACAAAACAAACCTGTAGTTGGCTCGTCGGCAAAAATTACAGATGGACTGGCAATGAGTTCACAGGCTATCGACAGCCTCTTTTTCTCTCCACCACTGATGCCTCTCACTTTGGCATCACCCACGGGCGTGTCCGCACAGCGCACCTACAATGTTCCATGGCTCACAGAAGTTTTTAATGATACAAAACAAGTTCAAAATAGAACTACCAGCCCCAAGCGTTGCAGTATGTCATCCACGTAGCGACTCCTCTCCGCAGCAGTGCTAGATCCCGGCAGTTGAAGCTCAGCAGCAAGGGAGAGTGTCTCGCGAACTGTGAGTTGAGAGAAGAAGAGATCTTCTTGCCGGACATATGCAACCCTGCGATGAATAGAATGAATGAAAAACTAATATTAAGCTAGCCGATAGCTTACTTGTAAGACGTAGAAACGCAGGGAGTTCCATTGACAAAGAGCAGCCCCGTAAGCTTGAGTCGAGGCGATGCAGCGAGCTGCCCGGCTAGAACGTTAAGAATGGTCGTCTTTCCAGAGCCAGATGGCCCCATGATCGCCAGAAGCCTCCCTGCCTTCGCTTCTCCACTCAGATTCTTAAGCAGGCGCTTCACCTAAGCGAAAGAGAGCAATCGCATCGCGAGTGATGAGACCATCGATCGAAATATCCACTCACCGTCGTGATTCCATCCTTGGCCTGGAGCGCGCAGCAGATCTTGTGCCAGCTGAGAGTGATCGGGGGAACCTCTGGAGCGGAGGAAGCATCTTTACCATCATCGGATGCTTCTTCCTGGATTTCTGGCGCTGCTGGTGGCCTCCTGGAGAAGAATTTCAGGACGAGAGCTGCTACTCCTCCAGCCACAAGCACTGGGATCGCCGGAGCAGCAGCTGCCGCCATCGGGGGGAATTCCCTCTCCACTCCCTCGCGGCAAAGAATAAAAACCTAAGCAGCTCCTTTGAATGATAAGCTTTTACTTCCATTGACACAAGGTTATTACTGGAAAAGTTTGAAGTCAGTCTACAAAGAATGGCTTGCTTGCTTGCATTTGCTTATTTCTTTTCTCTTTCGCGAAGAAGATTGTTGCAAGGAAGACGAAGAAGAAGAAAAAGAAGAAGAAATAACTCTTCGATCGATCGCTGGATACTCTCACCTTTTTTTGTTTGTTTTTTTTTTCTCTTTCTTTTTGTCTCGCTCTCACTCTACTTAAGCATAATACATGTACAGGCTATTGGAGGCGGCGCATGCGATGAGATTTGCACACGGATGCCACGCCAAATGCAACAGCTTTGATGAGAAATCGTAGCTGCCATTCATCTCACTCCCAGAAGCGGCGCCACTGCCTCCATTCTCTACAAACGCAAAAGAAGAAACCATCAATCACAAAAACGAGAACTGAAACTTTCCAGAAACCTTCACCTCGTCGCCGCCCTCGAGAGAGGGCAGGGAAACGGCTGAATCTGCTCGGGGTTTGTGCTTGCCGCCTTCATCACCAACGAAAACCGTTAGAACAATCCACTCCGGAGAGAAGCTTTCTCTTTTTCTCGTACCTGTTTGGCGTTTTAGTACACTCCAAAGTAGTCGCTTCATCGCTACCCGGGGTCACCCCAAACACACGAAACAAATTACTGGAAAGCAATGAAAAAGCTCGTCACACACACACTTGGAAACTCGAATCCTCCATACCTGTAGGATCCGGTTGCTACACGGAGGCCATCGCCACTTAAACAGCACTCGAATTTGTCGAATAAAGAATCGTTCTCATACAAGTCACATAACTGCAACGCAAAAGAACCAGCAAAGTCAGTGACCACCCGAACGACATCGAAAGACGCAACCTTAGGTCTCAAATACTCATGAACTTTGAAAGACACAACCGGAGAGGCGTTCATGTTCACGTCCCAAAGCTGAAAGTAGGAAGAAACGTTAACAATGAAAGATCCGAGCAAACAAAACAAACGCCAAACCTTTAATGTCATATAGTCGCGGCTGAGAATGTACCGTCCACTACGAGAAAACTTGATATCCGAGATGGAGGCAACAATTTCTGTAAAAAATGATCTTGTTGCAGGAGCTTCCTGTTCCTCGAACCTACATTGGAAGGATGGAACTTCAGTCCAGGCGTAGAAGACAAGAACTTACAATATAGCATGCCGGTCACAAAGAGCCGATTGCCGCATATCTATAAGACGAATTGTTCCCTTTGAGCTGCTATAAGCAAGAGTATTGCAGTGGGAGGGATGGAACTCTGCAGACGTTATAACTTCTGTACAAAGGTTAACATCATCCTGTCAGACATGAAAAACTGAACCGGAGATGCGACTATACCTGTAAGATCTTCCATGTTAGCTGGCTTGATATCAACAATGTTGAAACTAAGGTCACTAATTTCCATATTCCATAAGTTGATTCTCAAATCGTCAGCAGAAATATACGTTTCGCAATCACTGCATAAAAAAGAGAGCACCAGCGTCAGACACGCGCCCCACAATGCAAACAGCTGACCTGTTATTGGAAATCGAATTTATATGATATGTATGGGCATTTGCATAAACTCTTCTACATCTGGCAAAAGGTGCTGTCTCGGTGCAAGAAACCTGCAGCAAAGCTTAGCAACAAGAAGAAAAAGCGGCAGCAGCAGCAGCATACCTTTGGCAAATGAAGGGACGGAATCCCACCGGGAGGAATTTCAAAATTTTGAGCCACGTTGTGTATCAACGAGGCCTTCTTAGGACCCAATGGTTCAGGCGTCTCCACGTTTAGCTTTGTAACTCTCTTGACCTTCTTTTCTGTGATCTGCTCGTTGTTCATAGGATGCAACATACGCGTCAAGTTAATCCGAATAGAAATCCTACCTTCCAAAGCTTGATGGTCTTGTCATTAGTGGATAAAACAAAACGAGCGCCGTTAGCCGTGTGACACCATCTGATTTTGTTGATCTTTTCCTCTATCTCCAGGCTCTTGAGGTAGTCAAACTGGGGAAGCCAAAAAAAAAAAGTAATGTAGCATCAACACGCTTCAACGATAGAGCAAGCGCACCTCTGGTTCATGGCTTTGGAACTCTGTTGAGTAGCGGTACTCCGGATGCCTAGGTATCGAATGGTCAGCCTTTTCTAACTCTTTGCGGTTTTTTAGCTGCAGCAAGACAAGCTAGGATATATAGTACCACTGAAGTTAATGAAAAAAACCAGACTTTCTCTTCGCACCTCTTTATCATCACTTCTGTCAAAGAGGACTACTCGCCCTCCGCGATCTCCAGTTGCGAGATGATCACCAGTCTTGTCGAATTCGATTGCGGATATAATGTCAACTGCAACCAATCCAGAACCCAGGTGTCAACTACAGTCTCGAAGAAAAAACCACTATTGGCATCCAGCTCCTAGACACCAAATCCCACACCTTCTCGTCTCGAGCGAAGCGAGACGATAGGAAGGAACACAAAATAAATGCAGTTAAGTTATGCTGGAGCGTTTCAGTGTGTGTATGCTTGTAAGCTAGGACAGGAATTCCAATCACTGATTAAGAAGAAAAAAACTCCCTCTTACCTTCCTGGATTTCTTCACCGGACATGCGCTCCCCAAACACCTGTGAGAAGTTCCATGCCAAGCTCGCGCTCTCTCCAGAGTGGCCCTGCCCACCCCCAGGTGCTCCATTCGCGCTGCCTACACTAATCATTCTCTGGAATTTGGCCCTGCGCCTGCTTAGCTGCTGGATTTCACAGTGACGATCCCAGCTCCTCCCGCATTCATCCGATCCCTCCTTCTCACCTTCCGCATTACTCTCTCGCAAGGGAACAAAACCCTAGCCTCGCGATCCCCTGTGTAATATAAACACAGCCGGTCTCGAGCTCGATTCCGCCCCAACCCGGCTCACATCCACGTGTACCCTCCACGTCACAAGGTATAAACCCCTCTTTTCTTTCCCTCTTTTCACCCACCATGGGTACAAGCGCATTGTCCTGGTCAGCGGGAGTGGGATTTAGGGTTCTTGGCTGCCGCGCATCGGCAGAGAAGAGGCGCGAGGTCCGCGTGTGCACGCACACCACTTGCAGGAAGAGCGGCTCCCTCCAGACGCTGCAAGCACTCCAGAATTTGGCGCCAGCGGCTGTGTCGGTGGAATCATGCGGTTGCCTGGGTACGTGTTCTTCTTCTCCTTCTTCTTCTCCTCATTCGAATCCATCGACAATGCCAGGACGCTGTGGCTCCGGTCCAAATCTTGTGCTGCTGCCAGACCAGCTCTTGGTCTCCTACTGCAACACTCCAGCGCATGCTGCGCGCTTTCTGGACGTGCAATGCGGAGCCAGCAATCCCGAGAGTAATCTCGCCGCTTTTGCTCTCGCTCAAAAGGGGGACAAGGCGGTCGACCTCGGCCAGCTCGAGCAAGCGTATGATCACTTCACACACGTACGTATTCCATCTAAAGAAGAGAAACAGGACGATTCATCATGTTCGTTTTCTCCAGGCGATTGAGCTAAATCCAAGCGGTGGCTTGCACTACATCTATGCCAAGAGGTATAGCTTTTCAATCAAACTCCGCTAAGTTTCTCACCGACTAAGAACAGGTCCGCTGTCCTGGTTGCCATGGACGATCCAGAAGCTGGACTAGCAGATGCCAAGATGGCTGCTGAGTTACATCCCGACTGGCCAGTGGCTTTTGTCCGACAAGCCGACGCATACACAAAGATGGCTCAATTCGATGCAGCCAGGCATTACTTGTCCCTTGCTCTTGGTTTGGATCCCTCCCTCCGGAGATCCAAGTCGTTCCAGGTAACAAAACTCCAAATACCTCTGGATGCTTTCTAAACATTTTCTATTCTATTCTTTGCAGCGCAAACTTTTGCAAGTGGAGAAGCAACTCTTGTCTGTAAATGCATAGGCCACTCAGGCTAAAGTAAGCTATGTAAAACATGCCCAGTTAAATGTATACCACTTTACTAAGTTACCATTTCAGCGCTATAGCTACCTCAAGCAGATCTTTCACGTATTGCAAGTTTCGCTTCTTGTCTTCCAGCCTGAGCCGCAGCGCCACAGCATCAGTGTCCAGGCCTTCCACTTCATGGGAATGGATTTGAGCTTCCACTTCCTTGACGAGCTGGTTCACTTCTCTTATGAAGTCGATGCGGAGGAGAACGTCGTCGTCGTCGCCCTCTACTGGTGCGTCGATTGGACCATGGTGCTGAGCGAGAGAAACGACTTGTAAGTTTCCTCAAGAGCAACAATTACTGGGGCTTACCGAGGAGAGATCAAAGCCCCGAGGTGCAAGGATGGTGAAGGCATGCTCCGGGGGAAAAGCTTTCAGCATCCGGTGCCGGGCCTTTCGCAGCCACTCGGTGTCATCGGTTCCATCGTGCAAGTTTAGCAACTCGTTGAGCAAACGCATTGAGGGGCTCGCCTGCCTCTTCCTGATTTCATACTGCCAAAAGCAACAATAGCTCTTTCAACGTGAAGAGTATCATCAACAGCACTTCACCTCAACCCGTCTGTGCAGTAGATCCAGAGCTTCCACAGCCTCTCTCTCGTCGTCTTGCCGTGCCAGCTCCAGCCGACTCTTGATCACCAGAAGCAACAGTGGAGTGAGTTCTTCATTATCGCCAGCCTCGACAATCATCTACACCAGAGAGCCTACACTTTGAAGCGATCACCCAAATGCTAAAAAAGGAGGAACTCACCTCTTCGATCTCCTCGCCCGACTTGATGAAGTTGGCTACGAGTCGTCTTGCCTTATTCACCTCCTCTTGCGGATAGTTCTTAAGGCTCGACCCAATCCTTCGGTACTCGAGCGCTAGCCTCACTTCTTCTTCGTCTTCCTCGCGCCGCCTTCTCTCCAAGTCCGCCGTCTCCTGCCGCCTGGCTTTCTCCCATTCCTGCACAGACAACAAAGAAGGAGCGTTCCATCCATCTCTCACGAAGTAAAGCGAGAGTGCTTACCTCATCGATGGGTCTTGCCAGGAACTCTTCTTTCGTCATTCTGGAAGCTCTTGCTCTGGTACTAGCTGCAAAACAAGATGAAAAGGAGAACTTTGCGATGCGATATGGTTGCTTGTTGACAGGGAAGAACACTCCCGGATTTGCGATTGAAGCCATTGAAGTAACTTACATCTGTGACAGAGGAAAAATCTGTAGATAACCTATTTACACGGACCATCATCTTGTCAAAACACGGCCTTCATCAGCTTGGGACGATAATGGATACTTATGTCCTCGTATGCGCTCTTTTGTTCCACTGTGATGTAATCATTTGTTCGAAGAACCTGTCAATCGCAACATGAGCTTCTAGTTGAAAACCAAAAAGCCACCATACCAAAGTCTCGAAAAACATCCGAGCTGCTTCCTTCCTAGTTTTGCCAGTTAAGAGCTTGTTCAGAGTCACAGGCCTCTTTACAGCCGTATCAAACGTAGCTCGAAGAAACTGCGCAATCGCCCTGCAATGGATGATTTGTTTTTCACTCACTCCAGTTTTTCACTTTCAGAGTGTACCTTGTTCGTTCGGACCATCCTTCAGATTGTGAGCCTACCAGATCAGGGCCATTGCTAGCCAATAAATAAGCTGTAAAAGCAAATCAGGGAAAAACACACACAAACATAAGAGAGAGTCACTCACAAGAGTCGATTGGTGGTGGAAACTCCCGAGGCACAGTGTTCTTGTCATGATCGGTCTGCACAGTGTCGTGGAATTCTTCCGCTTGTTTGCTATTATCCTCGTGATATTTTTGAATTTGCTCGCTTACTCTATCTTCAAATGCACCTGTTTCACCACCTGTCAGGAAATGTTTTTCGTTACCAAAATCGTAATAATTCGATAAACTTACCGCCACTGTCTGGAATTATAGCAGTGGGAGCTTCTACTTCCGGCATTTCAGGTATTGCATATAGTTGCTGGGGTGATGGGTTCCGTACTTCAAGAGGAGATTGCTCTGGGGATCTGACTGGTGCAGGAGAAACCCCGCCTGGTGATTGTGGCGTGGCGAGGGGTGACTTTGGAGGTGACTGCACTTTGGTACGATCCTGAACGGGAGTAGTTTCGACATCTGCGCCATCTACTGCGAAGGTCACGTTGGGAGCGGAGGCTTTCAATCGCTTTGGATTGAAAACTCGGTCATAAAGTTCTTCCAGCCGAGAGCATAGACCTGCGGAAGAAAATGGTCGTTAAGGACTACAAGCATCCAGGGACAAGATTACCATCCACAGAAGGTGTGCTCAGCGTACGCTTGCCTAGACGTTCTTTTTGAAAAATCCAAATCTCCTTGGGAGAAACCTTTCTCCGGACCCGGCGCAGGTCAGACGAATCGTTGAGCATATCTTTCATGTAACTGCAACGTGCCGAGTTTAAAAAGAAAAGGTGAAGATCCGACATCATTGAAACAAACACATTACCTTTCCGAGAGTGTTACCTGCATATCATATGCTTGCTTTCGCTTTCTAGGAGTGTTATTCTTGCGAGATGGAACAGGGGTCTCCACAACTCCGAAAGCAGGAGTATCGTCGCCATCTAGAGTGATTGCACGCATTCGTCAGCATTTCGGACAACAATAATCTCATGCTAAGTATTACCTGGAAACCGCTGAGCACCAGGAGAGTTCGCGTCTGACCTTGAAACGGGTGTGCTCGGTAAAGGCTGCTCGTCTTCAACCAGCCGTGCTTCTTCGACAACGGCGTCCTCTCGTGGTTCGGCTGCCACTGGCTCGACACTTTGCTTCTCAAAAGCATGAAAGTTTTCTTCCCCAGCCAGCGAAGCGGATCGAAGCTTCTCAATGTCAGGGACAGTGTCTGCATCCAGCGGCGAAGAAGGTCCAACATCCATATCCATTGGAGGAAGCACACTGTTATAGCAAGTTAAAGATCAGTCAGCATAAAAAAATCAAGGAAAAGAAAGAAGGATGAAACTCACTCTTCTTGGAGCTCGGGTGTTTCAGCCTCGTTCAACGGAAATTTCTGAAGATCACGTCTTAGCAAACAAACTGACGAGAAAAGGAATAAGTCACAAAGCAGACCTCGTTACCAATGTCCATAGCGTGAGGAGTTTCCATAAACCTTTCTGCAAGATGAACAAACCGTGAGCGAGAGTCAACCTGGGAGCTACATACATACCGTCCTGCTCGAACTGAGAACCCGGATACGAATCGTCCACGACATTTTCTTCCAGAGTAATTTGGTCTCGAGTTGTAACATGGTGATCGACTCTGCAAGCGGTGGCTCTTGGTGGGAAAAGAGAAACAAAACACCAAAGAAAAGAAGCACGTACCCATCAGGAATGTACAACACATCTATGTCGTCGAACTCAAACGCTTCCGGTAGAGTGATGGAGTGAAAGGGAGCACTGGCGGCGTCGGCCGGAAGATCCACGGACGCCGAAGTCGCGGAGGAGAAGGCATTCTTGAGCTTGACAAGCGCATCGTTGCAATCGTGGAAGAGATAGTTTACTTTGCGTGAGTAAATCCTCACAACACCTAGCAGCAAGTGACCCGACAAGCGCAGCGCGATGGGAACCTCGGGAAAGAGAATAGAATCTAGAGACACACACACACAAAGGAGAGATTAAGGGAAAAGGGACAGGAACAAGAACAAGATTGCGCGGAGAACATACCTACAGAGGTGATGATGTTGGTGTCGTTCACCTGGTTCTTGCGGAGCTTCTTCTCGAGGTGCGCTGCGATCCAGATCGTCCCCAGCGGCCCTTTCTTTGCCAAAATGTACTGCGAGTAAAACATCGCCGCCGATCGATCGCCCAAACCCTAGGTTTTTCTTTCTCCTCTTTTTCGCGCTTCTTGAACGAGCTGGGCTCCTTCTCCAACACACTTCCGCTCGAGCCTGCCACGTGTTCTTTAGGGCTTTCTAGCAAGCTACTTAGCAGTAAGCAAAGCAAAGTGTAATTCAAAAAGTCCATATTCATATCAATTACCCAGCAAATTGGTTTGCAATTTCATACCATTTCGAGAGATTTACTGAGTTTAGCTATATTTGCTCCTTGATCAACTCTTAAACTGCTAAAGTATAGAAGAAAAAACTTTGTAAAAAATAAGTCTTGAAGCTAAAGTAACCTATCATCAATAGTAATTGATTGTAATTAGAAGCTTCATGGCTGCAAAGGCAAAGGAGCCCCGGTAAAGGGTAATTCCATGCAATCTGATCATAGCCTCTTGATTCCATGCAAGTAGTAATCAAGTTAGCCTAAGAAAGGAATTGTTGAGAAAGAAAGGGATCACTCACTTTTAGCCACATTGCAAAGGTGGATGTGATGAGTGGTAATTGCTATGAACCGTGCTATGCATACACCTTGATGTGATAAAATTTAAGGAGCTAGAGAGCTAGCATGGATTCACAAACTTGCCCATCCATCTTGCAGGCAAGGTGGTGGGCAGAGAGAAGCTACAGGGTGAAAACGTTTCCCGTAAATATGCATGCGTAGCGACTTTACTTCTGTAACTATCCTCAATCGTTTGATGGCAACTCCATACTTCGGGGGATCATGTGTCGAGGGCATATTCGTGTTGCGGGTGGACAAAAGGTCATTGTCATGGAGGATCTACTTGACGAAGGACCAACACGTCGTATTTTACCAGGATGCATCATTTCTCACATGAGAAAACTTTGACGACGGGAGTAAGCAATGTTACCATGGCATTCCTTCCTACCTTAGCCATGCATTAAGACAATCTTATACTTCTCTTAAAAACTTTGAGCAAGTTACATAACCTTTGGAGCAGATATATGAACAGTGTTACTATCAGCCTAGAGACTCGTGCTTGTCAAGTGATCCGGATGACTGCGATCATGAATATGAAAACACAAAGCATGGCGAAGATGAGAAGCCAAGAGTAGAACTCGCCGGCTCTTCGGTTCGCGGAGGCCAAGCGTCTGTAGAGCGTCGCCAGTGGCATCCACAACTTGGACAGAGCAAGCAAGCAAGCAAACCGTGTCAGAAAAGAAAGAATCGTGAATTCCAGGAGAGGTTTTGGAACAAACTTTGGGGGTGTCTTGCAGGGATTGTTGCATGAGTAATGTCGACTCTTAATTGTGTCAAGCTAGCGACCATTTCTTCTGTTAGATCGTCCTGCAAGCAAAAGAAGAAATTAAAGTACGATCCGAAAACAAAGAGAAGTACCAATGCTTTCCAATGAATTCGTGATTGGCACTGTCGAGTTTCACTTCTACTTTTGAAGGACCAGGCTCGGGATCGTCATGCTGGATGCTGAAAATACAAGATAAAGGAGATCAATGGATCGTGTAAAATTGGTAACCAGAGAAGAACTTACTGTCTCTTTCGAGAATTCCTCCTCGACCCCTCTAGCTTACCCATACTCTTTGCCATGGATGAAAGAATATGATATTTTTGCCATCCTTGTTGTACGATCCACCTGGGAAAATTTTGCTGGGCGTTCCAACCTCGTCCATGTAAGCATGTGGAGCCCTGATTCGATGAGGGATTGCTCTTGAGCTATTTTAATGGAAGTTTTTTGTTTTGTCATTCGCCATGACCGTCATTGACCTCTATTGACTTTAGCTTGACCAACAGCTTGGTAAAGCGATCTCTCTTGGAAGAGTGCTGTTGGCCTACACGTCTCTGGCGGCCGATCCTCTCATGGAGAGCTCTTCCCTGCTTGATGACATCGCCACCGTCGTTGGAGCAAGCTTCCAGCGCAAGCATGAGAGAGACTCTGCTCGAAGATCCATCTCGCGGAAGATTTGCAGCGCTTCCTTGCCGGATCCAATCTGAGCGTAGGCAGCGACGAGCGAGAGTTCCAGCACATCGCGTCCTCGTCGAAATCTTTCCTTGCATCGTTGAGGCTATGGCAGCAAATCGCGTGAAGACTTTCCTTGCATCGTCGAGGCTATGGCAGCGAGCATACATGTTGAGCAGCGCCGTCTGGAGCATCTCCAGCGATCGTCCTCTCCATTGCGAGAGGATGGATCGTTCCAGCGAGTTGCAAGCACCCACAACGCTGAAGAACGTCAAGCGATCCGGCTCGGGGCCGCTGGGGTCTTCCAGCATTCTCTTGAAGAGGTTGACAAGTTCTTCCTGTGTAACCCGAGATCGTATTTCAGCTCACATGTCTGCTCTTCATGGATCAAAGATCTCCCTCGCAGTGTCCAGTGATCCGCTGCTGAGTAGAGGCAATTGGCAATGGAGAGATGATCGCCTCCAGAGCGAGTGGATAAGATCCTTATGAGACATGATCATCGGTGATCGAGATAGACGACACGATCCCTTCGAGGAGCATCATCAGGGATCCACGATGGTTGTGAGCGCACGCCAAGATCCTTCTCGCACTTGCCCGTTCTGGGCAAATGCTGCGTGACCTTCCATCTTGTGGAAGACTCCCAACGCCAAGCGGCCGCACTTCCCTGAATTTCCCTGAGGAGATTTCCAAAGAACCTGTGACGATCTAGGCCGCCGTGACTGCGCTTGCCCCGCCCAGAGATCTGTGAAGCGGGTTTCCGCCATCGACCTAGAAAGTTTCCCGCCAAGCGATTAGGATATTCTATTATATTCGATATTTTGAATCATCCCGCCAGTTTTTGCCCTTTGCTTGGATGGAGACCTAAATTGCGCATTGCTCTTCAATGCGTACTCATCCATGGGGCCGACGCCGGCGTGCGTCGCTAGAATCTCCTCGGCGTGGCACTGGCGTATTTCACTCTCTGGCCGGTCCGATCTTTGGGATCAGGCAGCTAGCCGCCATTCTTGGTGCGCATTTTCCAGTTTTCTCGCGGTTTTCTCGATTGAGTCTCGCGCTAGCTGGCTTTGATCGGTACGCGAGACGAATCGATCTTGCAGATGGATGGCGTCGGCCACCGCGGTTGTTCTTGGGGGAAGAAACCCTAGCTTGGCGACGACGGAAGAATATAAAGGTCCATTCTTTGATGATAACTTAATAACTATTTTATTCTCCAGGATCACTTGGTTTTTACCGATGGTTTTTTATCGAGCTATAAAAGCCAGAGGTCATATTGTAAGCAAGAAAATGGCAGGAGGTCGGCTCGGGGAGCCATGGAAGCGCCGGCGAATTGCGGCACCGGTGGCATCGGAAATGGGAGAGATCCATGCTACCGGGCTTGAACTGCTCGGCGAGGCGGCAGCAGTCGGTGATGAAGCAGTGACGACGAGCTTCAGCGATTCCGGGCCAGTAGTGACAGATGATCCTGCAAGAACTTCTCTTCCCAGGTCTTCATCATCCATCCAGCTTCCAGCGGTCGCAGCAGAAGACCAAGTCTTTGTCCCTAGCGATCCAGGCTCCGGATTTGATCACCTCGGCGACATTCAGCGGTCGCATGCGAGGATCGGTGGCGAGGCAGCGACGGATGATCCTTTTCCAAGCTTTGGTTCGCTGACAAGCTTCGCGGGTTTGTCATCATTCCAGCGCAGCTCGACCTTAGCGATCGCAGCAAAAGTGGAAGCCTTTGAGCAGCCGGGAAGCACAGCTCAGGATTTCTCTCCCGTGGGAGTGGTGGCGGCCACCTTGGTTCCAGCGGTCGCAGCGAAAGACCAAGCCTTCGGTGCTAGCAGTCCAGGCTCCGGCCTCCGCGGCATTCAGTCCCATGCGGCGATCAGTGGCGAAGCAGCGACAGGAGATTATGGGCCTGTAGCGACAGATGATCCGACCAGCTTGAGCGCTAGCGATTCCAACGTCCAGGTGTGGAAGGCAACGCAGGATTTCTCTCTAGGCGAAATAGCGGACGCCATCGTACGCAACTATTTCGATGGCAAGCTTCCACGGGACTCCGCCAGACCAGCCGAGGCCATCATGCACAACTATTTCGATGGCACGCCTTCATGGGACTCCGACCGAGCCCAGGTTTCTCCTGTGAGAATGACGCCGGCCAGCTTGGGCGATTTATATGGCAGGCTGGAGTTCTACCAGATGGTACGTGTAGCTCAGGCGGTAGAAATGGTCGCATACTCCTTTGGCGATTTCCATGAGTACAGGAGTTGGCACCCATGGGCTTTCGAGGAGGCGCACCAGTTCTCTGGAAACGACGATCCAACGATGGTAGAAGTGGAGAACCAATTTTCGCGGGCTGAAGGGGAGCTCCCCCGAGACGACGACAATGACACAGTAAGCAAAGAAGGTGATCTACATATGGAAGAAGTAGGAGAAGAAGACGAGCATCTAGTGATAGAAGTGGAGGACCATGCAGGGAGAGAAGAAGAAAAAGATCAAGAAACGGGAGAAGAAGACGATGTAGACGGAGATGAATTCGCACAGATAAAAGAGGGTCCAAGAGTGGACGATGCTCAATGCGACGGGCTCGAGAGTAAGGACGACGAGGCAGTGGAGATACAGGTTCGGCGCACCAGTTCCCTCGAGACGACAATCCAGCGGAAATCCAAATTTCATGGGACGAAGCTGTGCAGGAGCTCCTCCGGGATGGCACAGAAAGGTCAGAAGGTATGGAAGAAGTAAGAGAAGAAGACGAGCACGCAGTGATAGAAGCGAAGGACCATGCAGCGAGAGAAGAAGAAGAAGAAGATAACAAAGCAGGAGAAGCAGACGATGTAGACAAAGATGAATTCGCACAGATAGAAGAGGATGCAGGAGTGGACGATGCTCAATGTGACATGCTCGAGAGTGAGGGGAGATACAGGTTCTGGCACACCAGCTTCCTCAAGACGATGATCTAGTGGAACTCCAAATTTCATGGGACGAAGCTGTGCAGGAGCTCCTCCGGGATGGCACAGAAAGGTCGGAAGGTGTGAAAGAAGTAAGAGAAGAAGACAAACACGCAGTGATAGAAGCGGAGGACCATGCAGCGAGAGAAGAAGAAGAAGATAACAAAGCAGGAGAAGTAGACAATGTAGACGAAGATGAATTCGCACAGATAGAAGAGGATGTAGGAGTGGACGATGCCCAATGTGACAGGCTCGAGAATGAAGCGGAGATAACGCAGCGACAGTGCCAGAAGAAGCTCCGGCAGCTGTGGAACCAGGTTTGCCACACTTGTGCATTTGTTTTTCATGATCCCTTTTATTTCTTTGCAGACTTCTACGAACAGTTCTCTCCGGATTTCTGGACGTTGCCTCGCAGCTACGACCAATTTCTCGACAATTTGTTTTTACAAACGACCCTTTTGTTCGATCTCATGTATTAATTCGCGCCAATAATATATTTGTGCCCTATCCCCGTGTAAAGAGTAGGATGGAATCCAGCGGTGGGCTATCGCATTCTCAGAGTTGCGAGGGCGCTGCCATTTCACCTCCGAAACAGTGGATGAAACACTCCCGTCTGGAAGGATTTCAAAAAACCACGCACCCACCGGCTCATCCAGCTCCAGCCCAAACTGATGAAAAAGATCTGGAGTGTTGGATTGCCCCGTGCCAGACGCTGCCGTGCACCTGTTGATTGCCTCCGACTATTTCACGCGCAGGGAAGGACGACAAAGGGAGATTGCTCATCACAGGTATGATCGTTTGTGTGCACTGCGTCTTCATTGCTGCAAGCCCAGTGCCACTACATCGTCGCCAAGCTCGACAAGGTGAGATTTTTCTCTAGAAACCATTTCATCTTTGTGAAGAATTCTCTATGGTCTTGCAGAAAATGGCCGAGGGATGGGTGGACAAGAGTGACGAAGAACTGATAGCAAGTATGTGTTCCTTTGTTCTTTCCCCTCCTTTTTCTTGGTTACTGATGGCATATATGATCCAGATCTAAACAAGGTGGTGGAAGGAATTCCCTCTCCCCAGCACGCACAATCGCGTCTCTCGGATGCTATGCGACTGTTTGATCTGACTGCGTCGCTGGCCGACCTCGTCCTTGCATGGTTTTTGATCAGGCTTGGTAACGACGAGGAGCAATCTCTGGATTGGCTCGTCTATTCCGAAAAGAAGGCTACGGTGGATCGTCACGCTGGCGGCAGGGGCCAATTCGAGAATCTCCTCTTCTTCTTCTTTCAGAATGTCAAGATTTTTGATCCACCATCCCCGGAACGAATTGAAAAACTCTGTGCCTGGTTCTACGTTCTACCGAAAGTCGAGTTCAGAGGCATCGATATCACGAGTGCTGCCCGCCAGATACTTGTGGTACGTTATTGGTTATTGGTTTTCTATTTCCAGATGTTTGACTCCACGTCTTTCTCATCTTTTCAGCATTTCATAGGTGCGCGAGTTTTACGTTTATCATTTGGTGACCATGAATGCCTCAAGCATTTCATTGAAGACCACTTGCAAATCTTCCACAACTTTCGACTGTATCTGCGATCAAACATCTACAATTGTCACAACGTGAGCGCGCTCATTGGTCGCCTGCTGTTCACTTGGACGAGAACGAGCGAAGGGCAGCGTGATCATGACGAGCTCAAGGAGCTGTGCAAATTCACCGGCAACAGTTTCGCGGAGCACGTCAAGTCCACACTCGGCTCAAGCAACTCTTGTGAAGACGAGCGCCAGCTTTTGTTTCATGCCGCAGCCAGAGTGTTCGGGGAAGATTTCAGTGGCCAGTTTGTGACCCTGTGCGCGAACTCGCAGTGGGAGGACAATGCCAAGCTCTTGCAGACAAGCGAGCTTGGAGAAATCATGGAGTTGGCGAAGCAGGGACAGTTCCAAGTTGCTAATCCTCTCCCCAAGAAGGTTGTGACCAGTCGTTGGCTCGGTGAAATAATCCTCTGCTTCTAGCTTTTTCACTGTCTTTGGGGAGTGAATCCACGCTCCAAGCTCTAGGCAGATCTTCTTTGTCACAGTCTCAGCCAAGTAAACCCCTTCCTTACGGCAACTAGAGGTTAATAACAGCGTCATGTGTTGGCGGTTTATGACGGGATCGATAAGTAATCCTCTGCCTGCAAATCAAAAATCACATTAGAAGAAGCGTCTAACTTGAAATTGATATACTCACAATCCTGTATCCATGTTGTACGATCAAAGGTGTATGGCATGCTATCCTCGAGAACCAGCTGAAAGAAAAGGTTCGTGCTTAGAACACTAAGGCAAAGCAAGAACGAGAAAACAACACTTACATTAGATAATGCCCTTAGGGATGTTATGTTGCGTGCTGCTGGGGGTGAATTTAGTGACAAGCACGAAATTTTGCTGGCTAAGATGGCCAAGTTACTTGGATTTGGAAACATGGACGGTATGTATGGACTCGCCAGAGCTTGAGGGCCATCCCAACTCTAAAAAATCTAGTAGCATGAATTCTCAGTTATACTTCAATCCCCTCAAGCGCCGGGAGATGACAGAAAAACGATGTTTAGAGTTTCAACAAAGAAAGCGGTGTTGCATTGCCACGAAATAATCTAGTAAGATATTTTTCAAACTTTGACAACAAAATCATAGCCCCTTGGAATGTATTTATCTCAGAATCAAGAAAGAACAGAATGGCCGGGCGAGGATAGGATCCTTTCGATGACGAGGCATGCCTCCAAGTGCCACGCTCCATCTCTGGAGCTTCCAGCAGTCTCGACCATCCAGCAGTAGTGATTCGGTGACAGTAAGCGCTGCAATCTCCATGCTTGCATCGATGCGGATTGTGAGCCCCGTGACTAGCGACTCCAGGCTCACATCTAGCGATGATCAAAGCTCCAGGATAGAAAGCTCCGTGACTAGCGATGCTCAAAGCTCTGGTCTGCAAGGAGAGACCATACTTGCATCCAAACATTCGAACACAACTGGATTCGAACGGGTATCGAATGTTTAATACCTGTTTAGCTTTTTTTCAAATGGGTATAATGGTTTTCAGTTTTAATATAATTAAAAAATAATTAACTGTTACTAAAAAAGTTTAACATAATATAATATAGGTTTAATCTAATCTTCATCCTCCGAATTTAGAACATCATCGCCGTCATCATCAGGTTGTTGAAGAGGTTCTTCAACAACCTCCTGAAGTGCAAGGATCCTTTGCCACTGAGGCTCAAGCTCAAGGTTATCAAGATCATGCTCGATAAGCCTCAAACTCCCAGACTCGATCTTCTGTATGACACGCATATTTGTGTGCACAAAAACCAGTTTCTCCAAGTTTTTGGAGAGCAGTCGAGACTTCCTTTTTGTCTGGATCATGCTCCATGAGCTCCAGTTTTGCTCGCATGGTGAAGCACAAATTGGCTAACTCAAGATCCGTAAAGCAAGCCTTTAAAGTTCTTGTGTGCCTGCACCAAAGTTGCTCCACCAACTCACCGGGTGTTTCCGGTTCTCCATCTATACAAGAGAATCAGTCTAAAAAGTTGACAAACAAACAGTTTATACACACCTGCTTTGAAGAGAACAAACGGCCAAGTTGTTGACGGAAACTCTGAAACTCGTGTAGCAGCTTGTGTTGAAGTCCTTGATCTCCTTTGCAATACAACTCTAGGTACTCCACAAAATCTTCCTGAGCCTCCTGGTCGAGAGGGAGATGAAGAAAAGCTGGGTTCAGAACAAAAGCAGCTCCATGCAAGATCGAATGCATCTGGAACCAACGAGTTGCTTTCCGACCTCCCTCGCCATGATCCTCCATCATGAACCTATTGATCTCCTCGACCTCTTCCTCGGCTAAAATCCCAATCTCAACAGCCTCTGAAAGCTTCTCATTCATCCGGTCCATAGCCTCGAAAATGAGACCGGAAGTTGCCCCCTCCCGGTCCGCAAGCTTCAAGACCTTGAGGAGCGATCCAAGAAGCACCAACAAGTGCTGGCACCTAGTCCAGAAAGAGTTCAGAGTCTCTTCTAAGATCCGAGTTCGAATGCGCTGGGCTTTGGTGGTCTTCGTGATGTCCAATCGCCGCTACTCGGAGCTCACAACCATCTCCTTCAATGCCTCCAAGGTTGTCAGATTCAGGAGCTGAGACATCACTAGAAACATGTAAGCGAACCTTGTGCTCGATGGCTTGATGAGATCCCGATTCCTTAGCTTCTGAAATAAAGCCAGAATGTGAGGTTTTTTGGTGATAAAAGTTACCACCTTGTGTAAGCGACTAAATTTTCCATTCTACTTTAGTCACTTAACCACACCTCTGACCACTTGGAGGAGTCTCATTCACAACCTCCATCAGTCCAATTCAGGACTTGGGACTTGCTAGCCCCAAGAATGGCATCCATGCCACTCAACACTTGCACCTGGTCCAAGTGCTCCACGTGTCCGGTCCCAAGACCGACACCCAAAGGTACCACTGACATCTCGGCCCGTTACGCTAAGGCCATGCTCATTCACCTTTGCTGCACTAGTGGTCCAACACCACTTGCATCACCACCTCGTCTCTCCAAGACTGGGCCATGTGTCCACGAGTGGTCATCCTAGATCCACTCCTTAGCATCCTTAGGATGCCCATAGACCTGGGGAATCGCCTTCCCCAAAGTCCCTTTGTCAGTTCCTACCGAGTCCCTTTCTGCCCCTGGCCGTGTTTGCCAACACTGCCACTGGATCGAGGCCCACAGGCCCAACCACTAAGTCCCACGGTCCTCTGGGACTTCCTCACCACATGACTGTGTCCTTGGTCACTACCCCAGAGGACTGCTCCTCTTCTTTTCCACAGTCTGGGCCTTTGGGACAACATTTCGGAACACTGTGGCCTTACGCGAGCCACCTGGGTACTCTCCCCACCTTTTGCCTTTAGGTGCTCTAGCCATGGGCTTAGAGCGAGGTTCCATTGAGCCACGCCTGGTATCCAAGTAGGTAGTGCCACCCACACTTGGATTGGGAGCATCGGCCAGTCGATCTCCCGGGGGAACTAGAGCCGGCTCTTGAACACTTCACCAAGCTACCCCGCTTGTCGGTCCGTATTCACTCTAGTCTTGGACTTCCCAGTGGTCAGTTCATCACCCAACACTGGGTCGGGCCTTCCTGGGCCAAACTGGCCTTTCCTGGCCAAACTGGCTCCACTGCAGTCCTCCCCCTTACTATACTTTTGGAGCTCACCAAACCCCCCAGGGTCTGGGAGACGAATGCTTTGGGCTTTCACCCTCTCAGACTTGAACTCGGACTCGGACTCGGACTCGGACTCGGACTCGGACTTGGACTCGGACTCGGACTCGGGCTCGGGCTCGGTCTCAGCCTTGGCCTCGGTCTCGGTCTCGGTCCCGGTCCCGGTCTCGGTCTCGGTCCCGGTCCCAGTCTCGGTCTGGACCTTGGACTCCATCTTGGGTCCTTCTCGGACTCCATCTCGAACTCCATCTCGGACTCCGTCTCGGTCCATCTCGGACTCCATCTCGGACTCCATCTCGGACTCCGTCTCGGTCCATCTCGGACTCCATCTCGGACTCCGTCTCGGTCCACCTTGGACTCCATCTCGGACTCCATCTCGGGTCCATCTCGGAGTCCATCTCGGACTCCACTTTGGGTCCATCTCAGACTCCATATCGGACTCCATCTCGGACTCCACTTCGGACTCCATATCGGACTCCACTTCGGGTCCATCTCGGACTCCAACTAGGGTCCGCCTCGGACTCCATCTCGGACACTTCCACGTGTCATGTGTTGGTCCTTTTTGGGTCCCTTTTTGGAGCCTTGCTTATTGCTCGCTTCGTGCTCACTCCTTGAGCACTTTGTTGGGAGTTCCACTCCTGCGCTCGGCCTTCCAAGTCAGAGCTTTTAGTCCAAACGTGTTACACTCGTTTGGGCTTTCGCTTCGGCCACTACCACGTGGCACCCTTTCCGGATCCACTTTGGGGCCTAGGCATTCTGTGTCTCACACCTTGTTGCAGCCTTTCACCAGTGGTTTTACCCACGACAACCACCCGATGTCTTTGAAGAGAAGGTCCAAGACGTGGCACACACACCAGCTGTGGAGAATGTGAGGATACTCAGCTGTCATGAGTTCTCCCATCTGCACATAGTTTGATGCATTGTCAATGATCACTTGAACAACATTTTCTTTGCCAACTTCTTGAATCACTTTCTTCAGCTCAACCCAAATCCACTATCCCATCTTTGTCTTGCCCTCGGAATCTACAGACTTCAAGAAAACCGAACCCTGGACGTTGGAGGCCATGAAGTTGATCAAGGATCGGCTATGGTTGTCAGACCAGCCATCGGTGATGATGCTAACTCCATGTCTTCTCCACCCCTCACGGATTGGATCAAGTCGAGCATTGACACTATCATAAAGCTTCTTCAGCTGTGTACTCTGTAGCTTCTCATATCCCATCATCTGTGCAAGAGCTCCAGGGCCGAAGTCGATAGCAGCTTGAAGCAACTTCCTCAGATTTGGCCTCCGAATGGTGTTGAAAGGGATATTTTCAACGTAGAAGAACTCAGCCATGGCATCATCCAGACATTGAACCTTTGCAGACTTCATCATCTATTGAATGTCACCATCCAGCGCTGGTGCAGCACTTTGTTTAAGACTGCTGCTCCTGGAAAGTGGAACGCTGCCGCTGCTTGCCTCGCCCAGCCCTCCGGTAGCCCCACCACTTGCCCCACAGCTGGCACCACCGCTCACCTCACCAACCTCAGTCTCGTGAGCTAAGGCAAGTCTCTCTTGGGGACTTGCTGCAATCATGGAGCTCTTTGTGAGCTCCATATGATTAAAAGTTGCCTGAGCCTTGTTCACCACCTCTAGTGGCACCTGTTCTGTACAAATCTCTACATTCCTTCCTTTCACACCCCCAAGGTGAGCACAAACTTGTTCAGCCATGTCGGTGTAAGTATTCGAGCAATACTTACACTTCCATGGACTCACTGTGAGACACAAAATCCCTAGGCCCC